AAGAGGCGGAGATGATTTCTCTGTACTCTGCTGCTAGACACCCAGCAGGTAGGACCTGGACTCCCTCAGTAAAAGGCTTCCCACATGCCGAGACAAGCGTTTCACAGCATCTGATGGGGTTTTGAGAAAAATATCCTTTGAAGAGGAACAGGATGTGCCTCCTGAGAAAGAGGTGATATTTTATAGTCTAGCAAAAAATATTCCCTGGATGAATGAGTGAGATGGGGAAACTGTTTCATGGGTTTCCCATGGGCTATCTTGGTTATGATGAGAGAGAGAGAGAGAGAGACAGACAGACAGACAGACAGATTATGGAGAGAGAGAGCGCTTATGACGAGAGAGATAGATTATGACGAGAGAGATTATGACGAGAGAGAGAGAGAGAGATGACGAGAACAAGCGAGATTGTGACGAGAGTGAGCAAGCAGGGCACTGTTTGGATGATTTAATTCTGTCATCATAAATATGCAGGTTCAATCCTTTCAGTTTACATAATTTTACTTTTCGTGCTTATGTGCCCAGTGAGGAGGAGATCCCAAACTGTTAATCAATGTCTTTCGAGGCCATAGCTTTTCGTATCATAACTATCCCCCCCCAAAAGAGGGTGACCCCAACCGTCGTTCATTTCCATCACTACACAGCAGCCTGCTCGTAAGGCAGCTGAAGCTGCAAGGACCCGGGGCAATTCTCTGTTTAATGCGGTTCTCCATGTCTGTAAGGCAAATAACCGAGGGCAGAGGTGGGGGGAAAGGCAAAGTTAAAGACCTTCTTTATCTTCAGATGTGTCATTTTGTCCAAGAAAGAATAAAAGGTGGTGTTTTACGAATATCCAGAGAAGGGAATCACATTTCCCTGGAGCTGAATGAGGCTTAGGGGGAAAACCACTGATAATCATAGATTAATTAAGGCAACTGACATTAAGGATAAGTTTTGGATGAGATCTCTGTATTTATGAAAAATGATAAAATAATTTTGCTAGAGATTGAACCTCCCCTGAATGCTGTGAATATCTTGATGAATAATAAAAAAAAAATATAAAAATCTAGGGCAAATGATAGGTCTTATCAGCAAGATAAGAATTAAGTTGAAATCCTCCAAAATGGACTTTCGGCCAGAACACAACCACTAATCCTTTTAGGTATTTGGGAATGTGAAGATGGTGGCAGTTAGCTAAGTCGGGTCTTGCATTCCTCGATAACCATTTCTAGTCATCAACTAACCTTGGTTGTGTCATTCCGTTATTAGTCAATGCAGTAAGTCAGAGACTGTTCAAATGTCCCAAACAACTTTATTAGCATATGTTTACATCTAATAAATCAGAAATTGTAATGGAAATAAAGAGGCATAAAAGTAAGTCATCCATATTAACAGTTGATAATTTCCCCATCCTGATCTCTGCTACATAAGAATCATGTGGTATTTCTATTTCCAAAGTCAGTTTCTGGATTTGACCTTTATTGTGGACTATTGCCAACTTAAAAATGGAAAGTTTTCCTGAATTTCTAAGAGTTAGTCTGTGCATTTTTTCTTTTGTGCCCTGAAGGCAGTATTAATCACTGGAAAAGACATCTCTCTTGGCTTTTACACAACCAGACGTGCCTTGGGAATAGCCTGCTTGTGTGGTGCAGATACAGGTACCACATCTTACAATGTTCGGTTTAGTATGTGTGACATCTGCCCTGGGAGTGTAAACAGTACCAGCAGCTTCTGAAGAAGTCTGAAGGGACTTGTCATAGCTGTGCAATTACACTCAAATATATATATATAAAAAAAAAAAATCAGCAGAAACATAAATATACTTAAAACTGCAGCTTGCACATTCCACATGTTTCATTTTCAGTCTTTGTGTCGACAGAACTATACTTACATACTGCTGACAAGTGTCCTTCCAGACTATCAAAGTAATGATTTACTTTAAATATTAAGAATGGATATGGTCAGTAAATGAGATTACTGAACAAGAAAACTGTTCATAAAGGTCTTTCCATAAAATACGAATATTATGAATCTCTGATGAACAAATTTTAGTCACAACCAACCAGAATCTAGAGGCAGAAACAGAGGGTGTGAATGAATAAAATTATTCTATGGATTTAGCAAGGTTTTAAAGTTAAAGTTTGGGTGAAATGTTAACCTTCTTAGAACAAGCTCATTCCAATCAGTGGTTTTGTGAGATGTAGCACCTGACCAGAAAACAAATCCTTCCCGCCCTCCCCCACCGTTTGCAAGCTCTTTTCCATCGTTTTGATTAACTCTACCCATTGTTTACCGTAACAGCCATGCTCCAGACTTCTCAGGAATCATCACCTAAGAACAAGCACTTTTGTGAAAAGTGAGTATTTTGATATACAATGACATATCATGTGTCATATACAATGGCACATCAATGACTCCCAATTAATGCATCTACTCTAAAGCAGTGGGAAAGAGTAGGCCTTCTCTTGTCTCACCTGCTTGAACTTACCTGTCGAAATTAGGGCAAATGGGTAGGAGCATCCTTCTGGGTGATAGTTCCACCGAGCGAGGAAAGAATAACACAGACTATGGATGCACCCTCAAAGCTAATTCTGGACACTTTCTTCTTGACATTCTCAAACGCAGATCTTCGTGAGTTAGGCCCTCACTTTCACAGAGGCTAGTTAAATGTCGTATTTCAAGGCTTTGTCTTTTTTTTTTGGTCATCTGTTAAATGTGCTTTGCTGACATGGCATTCTTTGCTTTGCCAATTTGAGCACCGCAGTAATGTCTCACAACTTGAACAGCAGTATCTCGAATGGCAAAGGAGCACAAAAAGGTTCAGGAGGTAACTTGTTCAGTAACTTGAAAAAAACTAGGTTAGAGCTAATTTAAGAATTTGAATGCTTGTCACAATATCCTGGATGTATAGAGCATTCCTGGGAGTGAGAGGTCTTGAACTGCGGTCTTGAATTCCTATAGATTATGTCAGAGGGGAGGAATGATTTGTGGTGATTCGAGTAATTAACTGCACCTTGTTAAATGTTTGCAGAGCTGGCTGTAATCAACTTCAGTGAAAGAATACTATCCACATATGACTAGGACAGAGAAATACTTTGTGAATATTCCTAAAGCACACAGAGACAAAAAAAGAGGCCTTCTGACTGTTGCTGTCACAAAACATAGATTATTCCCATGAACCTTTTTCCTTGTGCCCCTATAGAGTGTAGACTGGGAGTGCACAAGAACATGGGAAGGGAAAAAGCTGGGACAGCTGACCCAACCTGTCCAAAGGGATATTCCATAGCATGTGATGTCATGTTCAGCACCAAAGGCTTGGGGAAATGGGAAGGAAGGGGGACATTTGTGCTTATTGCACCTGTCTTCCCAAGAGATCGCTGTGGGTACTGAGGCCCTTCTTCCCAGGGAGTGGCAGAACATCTGCCCGCCAGCGGGAAGCAGTGAATAAATTCCTTAATTTGCTTTGCTCGTGTGTGCAGCTTTCCTTCACATATTAAGCTGTCTTCATCTTGACCCATGTGTTTTCAGCTTCTGCTTTTCCAATTCTTTCCCCCGTCCTGCTGGGGCAGGGGGAGAGTGAACAAGCAACTGGGCAGGTACTTAGTTGCTGGTCACCTTCAACCCACCGCAAGTACTGTCAGCAATTTTTTGATTACTTGGAGCAAAATCTCTTGCAGTTGCACAGTCAGATTATTTTTTTTTTTTTCTCCTGTGCAGATTTAGTTCTGTGGTACAACCTTTAAAAATATATAGAAATTGTAAAAGTTAACTAATACCTTTGCTGGTTTGTAACTCTGCTCATATTTTGTGTCGATGTAGTGTTATTTGCTATATGACTGGCCTTTCTGCAAGAGGGTATCCTGGGAGGGTGACCTCTAACAGCAACCCGTAGGATTATAACTCGAGGAAGAGCCTTTGACCATCCCATCAGGTGCCCCCGGACTTCATCAAGTAGTAGCTGCTCTTTGCCAGAGCAGATGCATTTGGCCACTCTTGAACTGCAAAAGGAAGCACATAGTCCAGTCGTGGGATGTAAGTGAAAACCTGTTGCCAAATAAAGGTACCTGAAGGAAGAACAAATTTTATGCAGACAATTAAAGAGATAGTGCAGGCTGCATATCTTGTTTAGTATTACATGCATAGAATTAGTTTGATACTAATTATGTCTGGAAAATTCATGCATGTTCATCAGGTTTATCACAGAATAATGCTATGACAGCCACTCCAAGGACTTCTATATTTTAGAGCTAAGATGAGACGCAGGGAAGTAATTGTAGATACTTGTAAATAATCTGGTTCTCTATTTTAATTACAAAAACATCCATATTAAGCAGTTGGCATTGTTCTACTTCTGTAGCTGTGTTCCCACACAGCTCAATTGGATGGAGAACATACTGCTCTCTGCCAGATACTCCAGACACAAACATTCCTGGTGTAGTTTTGCTCAATCTATATAGTTTAACAAGAACAAGTGAACCCTGAGAAACCACAAGCAAAAAATACAGAGTATACTTTTCTGTCTTAGTTTCCTGCAGAGTCAAAGAAAATAATATATATCATGCAGACTCCAGGAATATTTTAAAACTTGTGTCTAGGAGAACTTAAACTTTGTTATGTTCTATATTGTTTTCTGTTGTCATCATATGTCACCAAAACACCAGCTAAAGGTTTAATGAGAAAGAAGGTGAAAAGGCTACCTTTTTCTTTTTTAAGGTTTAATGGCATTTTATTTTACATTAATTGTATTATTAAAGCAAATATTCCTTTTTTAAGTCATATAATGGAAACATCAGAGACTAAAATCAGTGAACTTATTTTGAAAACTTAACTTTAAAACTACCATCAAATAGCCAAGACAAACTGAATTTACTGGAAGCAAAGGAAAAAATTCATTAAGCCATGACTGAAACGAAACTTTTAGTATAATGGCCAATGACCAATGGCCACCAAATAAAAACCAGCAGAAGAATTACACATGTAATTGGTTCCATATGTTCTGTTTCTGTCATGGTATGTAAAACAGTTTACTTGATGTCAGACAGGAGAGCCACTCCTCTCAATATCCAGTGGTCTGGAGGCTTTAATGTCCTTAAATAGATCACTGTAACATAGTTCAGGTCTGTCCTCTTGGGCTTCTTGTAAAGAGGACAAACATAGAGCTTGGGATCCTTAGGACTGATTGTATTAACAGCAAATATGTGCACCACAGGCAGCTGGACAAAAAGAATCTTCGGCGTAGATTCAATGAGTCTGCTATTTTTTCTGTCCCAGCCTGCACCTTCCAAGTATAGCCGATAGATATACACTCCTTCCTGTGGGGAGAGTAAGCAGATATATCACACAACATAAAGCATCTGTTTCTAAAATGAGTAATTGGCTTAAAACTGTAAAAGGAATATATATTTTATAGTAAAAAAATCTGACATTGAAGCTTTTCAAACTATTTAATTTTAAACTATAATATAATCTTTTTTTCAGAAAATAATGCTACTGAAATGGATGGCAATAAAAGTTGCTTAATAAAGCCCATTCACTACAAAATTTGATCTAAAGTTTACTATAAATTCAAAAAATCAAGAGGTGGTACAGTGAGATGGTTCTTTTAATCAAGTATTTTTGTAACAGCAAAATAAAAAATTAAAATCTTCTTACTTATTGTTATTTATCTTCTATGCTGAGCAAAAAGAGTGAGGTGAAGGCAGTAGTAACTTTTTCCTCTAGCAATCTAAAACGACTGAATGGTGCACGATATAAACTAAATACTGAAATTAATCCTGAAACCTCTTTGAGGTCATACATACAGAAGGAGGTGCTGTAATTTCTTCTTTGTTTTCCTTTAGCACTTTGTTATGGATTGTAACTCTATCCAAAGCCCAGCCTTTATGAGCTCGAGTTGCTTCTTGTTTCATCGCTGTCAGGAACCCTCGAGAAATTAAGCCAGAGATTTAGTATCTATCTCACATGACAAAAAAATCTTGCTCGGTTATCTGCGTGGTTCTGCACCGAGTGTTATAGACAGAGACTCCGATAAGCACCCTGACTAATCACAGCAAACTTCGCTTTGGGGACGAAATAGGAACACAAGTGGCATAGAATGCATTACACAGAAAAATCTTTTTCAATGGCACATGAAATAATATACTATTTTTTTTTGCTACTGAATTATTCAGTGAACAAAAGTTTACTTAGGGTACTGTGTTACAATTATCATTAGGCAATCAACTACAGGATCCATGGTAGAGGTGTGTTTCAAGAAGGGAAGGCAGACGAGATATCAATTATGTGAGCTGATATTGATGTAAAGGCGACTTATGGAAAAGGAATTTTTGTTTTTTTAAATGAAAGAAGTAGAAAAATAAAATCAATTTCACTGATGGAAACCAGAAAAGGTATGTCTGAATGTGACGATAAAAAGAACTATATGAGTGTGGAGAATCGAGACAAAGCAGTGCCTACGAAGGGTGAAAAAAATTATGTTTTCTTAGTGAAGAAAAGAGAGTCCTAGTCAGAAATGAAGGTCGACAATGACACAGTCAGCAGAGAGTTAGATGATTCTTTGAGTATTGTTTTGAACAGACTTTACAGAGGTTTGCAATATAAAAGGTTTGAGAGGTGAAGGGCTGAACAGTATAAGCACAAGATGATAAATAACTGGGCAGGACAGAGGTTTGGATGTGTTATAAACGAAAAAGCTACAAAAATGAAACACTTGTAGCAAATACCTGGTTCTTTCTGTATAAGTGTCTTAGAAATGACAGAGCAGTCACCAAAAAAACTGATAGCTGCTATTTTATGGTAGCAGATGCAGAACTACTTGGGGTTGTCAGAGAGGGATTGAAGCGAAGAGAGAAAAGTTACCGATGGAGACCTGCATATTTAAGAGTGATTACTGTAAACACTTGAAGATGAAACAATGTCAGTTCCTTCCTGATAGGGCATAAAGGAAAAGACAACTAGCGTTTTGTGGGCTGTCGAGTATCTACAAGGAGGAGAAACCACCTAATGAAATCCTGACAAGCCAGGGTGGAAATCATGAAAGCACACTGACATGCAGTAGAAGACAGCAGTTCAAGATTCAAGAAGTGGTTTAACGTGCTAATTAGGACAAAGCAAATTAGAAGGTAAAGTATTAGTCACGGCTAAAATATTCATACCTGATGTAAATACAATTAACGTAGTACTTCAAATGAACATGTATTCATTTCTCAAGTACTATGTATTCTAATAAAAATAAAAGAGTGTTATTTAGGCTTTAAATTTTGCTAAAATTTAATTATATCTCTACATGACATTTAGGGTTTCATAAGCCTGTTCATTCCAAGTGCCATGTCTACTGAATGGAATCATTAACATCCATTCTCCCTTATAATGATAATTTATAGGAGGCAAACACTGATAATGCTAAAAAAAAAAAAATCACAACAGCTTTAAATACAATTATTGATAATACTTTATAGTACTATGAATAGATGTTTCCACTAAACTGATCAAATACGTTCCTTATGTTTTAACATTATAATGTATATGCCAGTGCTGTGATAGACGTAGAGTTCAATTCACCACTGCAATCAGTCTAGATTTTCCTGCAATGGCAGCACAGCATAGTCCAAATTCTGATTTGCCTCACACCAGTCAATTTTTGACCTTTACTGTATGATTTCATTTACTTAGAATTTGCTGGTGAGCAATATTAGGAATACAGTAACTATACTTACCTCACCCCTAGCCGTAGCACACCTTTTGCACTTAGCAGACTTCTTTCTCCATCTGCAGGACTATTTTTTTTTTGGAACACAGAGGTTGAAGCATGTTCATCAAGTTCAAGACCACCTGTGTCTCAGGGTTGTTTGCCATTAGGCTAAATATTTTCTTTGGTCAAAAGAATCTGGTCCTTTGTCCTTTACACCACCATGAGTGCTGTTCTTGAATCACCAGAGATCAGTATGCTTACCAGCTGTGCCATTTATGGTACAAATGGAAGGATATTTTGACTGGCATCTCAATACCATCATTTAGTGGTAATTTGGACGTGCTCCAGGATGTGTTTCTGAGAGCAACTCCAAAAATAGACTTTGACATTAGTACTTTTTACAGTCCCGGTCACAAAAAGGCCAGTAAGAATAGAAGTGTCACAAAGTGAAGATAACTCATACAATATTCAACAATTTCAGAGGTTAATCCTAATGAAAAAAAAAGCACCTCATAGCTGTTACATAGAAGTTTCTCACAAGAATTTTGTATGGGCAGTTGTGTAGAGCAAATAAGGGTCTTCTATGAACATGCATCTAATGAGGTAACAGGTTTTGTTACTTATGGAGGTGGTTACAACTTGGGTTTCCTCTTCTTTCCTATAAATGGTAAATATGTCAAGCTATAACAGATAATGTTTACTTGTACTTTGCAGTGTGTCTTTTACAAATTTGAACAAACTGTTCATTAAATAACCTGTGAAATGGAAACACTGTGAAAACTACTGTTTGATAATTCTCCGTGACAGACAGGTAACTGCTATAGATTCTGGTGTAGTTGCATGTTCACAGAATCGTAGAACAGCCCAGGTTGGAAGACATCTCGAAAGATCACCTGGTCCAACCTTTCATGGGAAAGGGAGCCCAGATGAGATTATCCAGGACCCTCATTGCACCTTGAAAACCTCCAGCAACAGGAACTGTACCATGTTCCTGGGGAGGTTGTTCCAGTGAATGATTGCTCTTGCTGTAAAAAAAAAGTCCTATTGCTACTGTACAGCACGTAAATAGCATCTTCCTCTAGATTAAAGCTCTTCCATGCTTGCAACTTACAGTCTGGAATGAGTTAAACAGCTCAAAAACACAGGAAAATAATATTTTCTTTAAAAGCTGTATCGTTATCATTAAGTATTTTTTCTTTAGAGACTGTACCATATCGTGGTACAATACATTAACAAGATAAAGCACTTCATTTGTTAGCCATGTGTTCTCCTTCTTGTAACATAAAACTGTGTTTACAGGTCAGACTAAAAGAGCATCTGTACAAGCATCCTGTCTCTGACACGAGACAATGGCAGATGCTTAGTGAAATAATATTACAACAGGCAAAATGACACATAAATCCTTTCCCTTCTATGTTCTTCCAGATTCTGGCAATCGGGAGCTTAGGGACCTCCCAACTCGAAGGTTAAGTTTGAACAGTCATGTTTATTGCTACCATTGGACCCGTTTCCCATTACTTTATCTAATCTCTTTTTTGAACCCATTTATTATCTTGGCTTCTGTGGCATATTCTGATAGTGGTGAAAACATCTTTTCTAGGTGTAATATTAAATTAGATATGTAGTAAAAAACATTAAATTATGATTAAATAACATTACTCAAGTCCTTTCAGTATGCTTACCTTGAGGATTAAAGAATCCGGTCATCCAAAATACATTTGGTCTTCCTTCATATAGCCAAGCAGAGAATTGAGTATTTCTTTCCAAAAGTTCACTAAACCAGAAGCCAAGTGTTGAAGAATCCCAAGATACTCTTTTCCATACTTGAGGAATTCGAGCATCATACATATTATCAAGTGCATCTCTCAGATTCTGAAGGAATGAAATTATAATATATGCACTAAAGCAATCAAGAGAATAGTTTCAAATAAAGTATTCCATGTAGGAAATAAGCTTTGCTTGCCTCACTCATGACAATAGTTCCTTCTATGGCCAATTTAAGATCATTCAAACTGTTGCGGACTATTGTGATGACCTTTTGCATTCTCTCAATTTCTTGCCGAAGAAAAATATTCATAGAGTTAAGACATCCCATTTTAGTTAAACGAGCTTTTACCTAAAATACAGAAGCGCAGAAGGAGGAATTTAGTTAAATCTGAATTGTTGAAATAGGGTTGTCATATACAACATCTTAACTTTCTTCTGTTCAGAAAAGTAAGCAGCAGACTTGTACTTCACATTATTCAACTAACAATTATCCCCTTAAAACTGTTGAAGTTTTTATTTTCATTTTTTTTTGCCTGACACTACCAAATTACTCATGATTTTGCTCAAATAGGACTTCACCCAGAAGGCCCAGGAAACTGCTGTCACAAAAAGTCAAGATTGATTTTTTTCTGTGTTTTCACATGCAGCTTTGGAAGCCCAAGCATAGTCTCCATGACGTATCCCCATGATCAATTGTCAGATGTCTTGCTTTTAAATAAAAAGCCTCATATTGACTCACGCCCAAAGCAACAAAGATGTAAGTTCTTTGCTTGAATCTGCTACTCGCTATATGATCTTTCATTACAGTTCAGGGTTTCTTTTTCGGGATGTCTTCTGTGAAAACTCAACAGAAAGAACAGTAAGAAAACAACTAAGATTAGCTTGCCTCGTGAGGTACGTAATCTGGAGGAAGTTTCTCTAGCATGTCTTCAGCTAAACGATAAACAATTGCTTCACGAGTTTCTCCGGGTCCTGCGCCACTTTCTTTAGGCTGGATGTAGGTAATAGTATCTAGAACATCGGCTGCTGTATTACTTTGGTATCTGAGAGAATAAGAAATACGTTATAAAGTACACGGGATTTTTTTAATAGTTAAATGATACTTTGCAGAACACGCAACTTGAAAGTTGAGAACAAAACCGTACTGTGTCATCAGGTTAAATCAAAACTCTCAAAAGAAATTGCTTTCCTTTGCGTCCTGCACCAAGCTGAACACACTGATCGTGAGCTTTGGTTTTCCACGACTGCAAAGAACATGAACTTTCCTCTATGCACCCTGCTACACACTTGCTGTTTTTCTAAATCGGGGCTAAGAAGGAGTTCTGCAAACTGAGAATGTGAGGTGGCAGAAAATCCCATTGTATGATTTCTAGGGATTCCGAGGAAAGGGAAGAAAATGGCATATGCCTGATAAGGACTTCTCAACAGCTTTTTGCTGGGAAGAAGCAACACAAGTTTTGTAACAAGGAAAACTATTTCCCTCATTTAGTTACTGCTGAAAAATGGAATGCAGAAGAAGGAAAAGGTGGAGGCAGAACTCTGCAAGCTGCCTCTTTATTCATTAGTAAATTCCTTCTACTTTGAGGTATTTCAGGCTTAATGACAAAAGCTGCTAAATTTACAATGTTGGAGATGAAAACCTTCTATTCCGTAGTACAGCATGGGCAGTGCTAATGTAAGTTTATGTTCTGAGTCAATACAAAAAAGTGAATTAAATTTGATGGTAAAAGATAGTAGACTACATCAGTCGTTCAACACAAGCAGGATTACAGGAGCACGTTCGTTACAACGCTGCCTAGTGGCACAGAGCTGTGAGAGGCCATAAGAAAACCTGACAGTGTCCATGTTGGTACTGCAGTGCTGGCGCTGCCTGCTTTTACCTTATGGGATCGGCTACATAAGGAACATACAGCACGAGTCCGACACAGAAGTTAAATTTATACTGACTCCAAGCATGATTTTACACATCAGTTTTACTTTTCAACCATCACACAACACCCATCTCCTCGTATTCCTTTGTCGTACGTAATCATAGAAGACATGAAACCAAGGATTGTGCCACAGGATAGAACATGGGAACTCCTAAAGCATCTAAGTGTTGGAGGCAGTATCGAAAGACAACAGAGGCTACATACTGCAGCATTTCAGCATAAACTGTTTGTGAATGCAACTATGAAGACTATAAATCAGAAAAATAGAAGAAACGCTACTGATAGTTTGCATATCAGAGGATGTAATTTCTAATTCTCAGTGTAGGAATGGTGGGGCTTCCGTGGTTTTTGATTATGCTTGACTTTAGGCTCTCAAGTTTTTTTCAATTTATGCCCCATTTAAAGAATGACATATTTATTCAAGACCACATATGAGTAGAAAAGTTGGATAAAATCAAATTTCTCTTGGACTCATGGCTTCATTCCTAATTTGAATGACGTGCTGGGGGTTGTAGCCCTTACTCTGGGTCTCGATCTAACAACTAGCAGTGAGAAAGACGTGAACCTTCCTCTTGATGCTGCAAGTACTGGTCTTCCAATACTGCTGTCAGACTGTTCTATGGAAGGAATAGGTCCCATGATTATTACATCAACCAAATTATAAAATATTACAGATTTATAAAAAAAGGAGTGGTCTTTCCCCACATATAAACAAAAATAGAAACAATTTCAAAAGGAAGGCAATATGCAAACTTTGGGGAAAAGCAGAGAACAGTTTCTGAAAAATAACCTCAAAGGAGCAGAATCGAAGGTAAATAATATTCCTGTCTCCAATGACACAACCTAGGAACCTTCCAGAGAGGAGAAATTATCATCTGAATCTTGTATAAAGAAGCAAACATGAATAGCAATAGCAGTTTGAACAAGAAGAATTTTGTTGTAAATAATACGAGAAAAGACAAAAAGATGCACCTTGATGTGTACATAATGAAAAATAATATTCCCATGTGGAAGTCAGGAGAAAATAGAAACAAGAAATTTCATTCATGTAACAGCAAGACAGTCAATATAAAAGACACTCTGGAACAAAATTTTTGTGGCCTTTGGAAAACCTGACTTTCCTTTACATTGCGAATAAAATGCTGAAGTACAGATGCAAACAATAATGAAAAATGATCGCACAGGTTTGTGGAGAAAGTCCCATGTTCCTGGGAAGGAAATCAAATATGCACAAGGGGGTGTCCCTGATCGCATTTAGATATCTATGTGTAGATGTCTACAGAACAGCTGTTTTGTCTAGCTTGCCCTTACAGGTAATGCAAAGCAGCATGATGCAGTTCAAGCTTTTTCAGATGTCTGCTTTGTGGTCAGAGGAATTGCACTTGACAAGGACCTATTTTTTCTCTATTACAGTAAAGGAAGTCTAAGTTTTCATGATCACTGCAGCCAAGGCTTCCCTTGAGCTTCACGTGACCCACCAGCCCCTCTTTGTTGGTGAGAACAAGTTCCAGCATGGCACCCCTTCTCGTCAGTTGCTCTACCACCTGGAGAAGGAAATTGTCATCAACGCATTCCAGGAACCTCCTAGAGTGCTGGTGCCCTGCTGTTCCTTCCTTCCAACAGATATCTGAGTGATTGAAGTCCCCTGTGAGGACAAGGGCCTGTGAATGTGAAGCTGCTCCTATCTGTCTGTAGAGGGCCTCATCCGCTCAGTCATCTTGATCAAGTAGGCCTGTAGCAGACCCCCCACTATGATATCACCTTCCCCTGCCTTTCCTCTAATCCTGACCCATAAGCTCTTGGTCAACTCCTCAGCTACCCCTAAGCCAAGTTCCGTGGACTCTAGCTGGCTCTTGACATAAAGGGCAGCACCCCCTCCTCTTCTCCCCTGCCTGTCTTTCCTAAAGAGCCTGTTCCCATCTATTCCTACACTCCAGTCATAGGAGCTGTCCCACCACGTCTCAATGATGCCTATAACATCATAGCCTTGTAGACGTGCACACATCTCTAACTTCTCTTGGTTGTTCTCACATGGTGAGGTCCTGGCTGCCTCAGCGCTCCAATTCTAGCAGTTAGCCTTCTGCATCTTCTGAGATGACTTGGTAGGAGATTGTAAGGAGAATTTTAATTTTATATCGCAGGGGATGCTCACCCCTCTGGTCTGGATGTCAAAGGTGAAATTCAGACAGGGTAGTGCACAGTTGACTATAGCAGACTGTGACAAGACATGGAAAAAAAGCATGAAGCTTTTGAACATTTTCCCAAACTCTAAAGAAACACCTACAAAGGAAAATCTCCAGAAAAGGACTAAAGTAGCAGCAATATGCTGATACACCAAATGGAAGAAAAACTCAGTACTAGAGAGAAATGAAAGAGCTGCTCCTACTCACTAAAACTCCCCCAACAGTGTTAGTCTCCAGCTTCCTCCTGTAAATTAGCCATTCTACAAGCCTAATTTTGGATCCAAAGTATGTCTCTCTTTAGGACTTCATTTAGTTCTCTGTTAAATCTTGGCTTTTCTTTAATCAGTTCTGGAAGGGAGGTCTTGCAAGTATCAGTGAATGACTTGAAACAATCTACTCTTAGATTCTTTTCTTCAGAAGTATATATATATACAGCAGTAGGTGCTGGGCAAATAAAACTGTACTGTTCTCACAGCAAGCTTAGAACACTGGGGTTTTGATATGGCATCAGCCTCCCAAATTTGAGATTGAAAAATTGTGGGAAATTATTGTTTTGTCCAAAAATGTTAGAAGATAATAGGTTTCCATGGCAGTTGGGCATTTGAATAACATTTGTTTTGTTTTAAAATACAAAAATCTATGTTAAGAAACAATAAATGTGGACATAATGAAAACGCAATAATTCATGGCAGAATTATTAAGAACTTCAGTGAAAAAAATATAGTGATGATTCATATCCTTTCACAGGGCATATAATGTCAGAAACAAATAAAAGCCAAGCTGTTACACATGTTATTTGGAATGAAAAACTGAATTATATCAAAGATAAAATTTTAAATGGAGTTAGTACTTGGTGCAGTTGAAAAGCCTTGTCTAAATAATGGAAATGGCAGGACTGATGGTAACAAAAGATTGTAGTTACATCCAAAGGCATGCTTGTAAACCAAATGACAATCCAGAGAATCATTTAATAAGTAGGAAAATAATATACTACTTGGAACAGAAGGCAAGTATTAGAAACTTTCTCTAGTTGAACTGTATAGAACTTTGTATCATGTGTTTACATAGAAGTTTTATAACGCTTTCAAATTAAAAAAAAATTCTAAACCCATGAAAAGTAAGTAATAAGAATTCTGACTGCTTTAAAAGAACATGTAAAATGTAGCTGAAGATACTGCATTCACAACCATGTGCGTACACATCAAGTGTTCCACCTCAGTTGTGAAATTCACATGAATCCTAGGTTTCCTATGAAAAATATACATTACATAGGGATTTGTTTCCAAATAGTAAACAAAAGGGTCTCTGTTTTCAGTATGTTGAGACCTACTTACGTAATATCAGCATTAGGATGGAGACCAAAGACCTTTGGGCTGTCCATGGCAGGGAGTGACTGGATGTATTCAAAATACTGTTCCAGGGTTTTGCACACTGGGATTTTATATCCAGTGTAAAAACAGAAAGTGCTGTCAAACATCTTTTCATTAAACCATGCCTGCAAAAAATCCAGAGGGGAAAAAACCCACAATTACTTTGGTACTGAGAGTTTTCTTAATCTCATTTTTATTCCTGGAGAATTAGGGTTCTTGTTTTAGCTGCTGTATCCAATTTTACTTGAATACACAAGTATGTCATAAAGAGTTGTCTTCTAAGTTTGAGTTTCAGCTAAGTCTTTTTAATAGTTTCTGCTCCTCACTAAAGAGAAAACAAAGGGAAGAACCTCACTGTCAAAGAATGATGTTTTGAAAAATTTGTTTTACTCCAAAGAGTCTTACGAACTGGTGAAAAGTACATACTGAGCAGAAGGAAGGTCTCGTGATTTCTGTATTGCAGCTGCCAATAAAAAAGACAAAAAACTGTATTTCCAAGGTCTCCTACCTTTGCAAAGCAATTAAGAAGACGTTTATCAAAGTCATCTGTGACTCGGCCTCCATATTGTATTTCTCCAATCATGTAGCGTACTGCGTTCCATGATATCCCCTGGATGCAGAACAGTAAATGAAAGACTAATTGTAACACGTAAGAAGGAGATATCCAGCCTGTAATTTCAATACAATCTGAAGCTCATAAAGCTCAGAAACGTAAGCTGAAAAGATCATTGTTGGAAGAAAAAATACTTTATTTCTAATGCATTTTTTGAGCTCTGCTCTGTAATTTTATAGTAGAGTAGAGCTTGATCCTGTTAGTAGAAATGTATCTCGTTATTTCTTGGGTGACCTGAAATCACTCTCAGCTGCTAGTGCCTCTCCTCTTGGGTTTTTTTTTTTTTTATTTTCCCCTTCCCCCAGTTTCTCATTTTTCTCTATTGTCAAAGTGCTGCTTTGCAAGGAATGGCTGTTCTATTACATTATTCCCTGATAAACAGTAGAAGACCGGACACAGCTATAGAGAAGTTTGACTGGCTCTGTCAAACTCTGTAAATATTTTAGATCCCTTTCCAAGACAGATATTCTATAAACCTGTTAATATTTAAGATATGATACTGAAAAAAACAAGATCAAATTCTGAAGTTCTTAACTATTACATATTTTTCTATGGACGATAGCACACAAAACATTTCAGCTTGACTGTCTTGTAGAGAATCTGAAACTTTGATCATGAGAAGCTGCACTGAAAGAACAGCAATGAATAAAGTATTATAAACAGTAACGTGAAGAAAAAACAATTACAGATGCTGTGCAAAGCAGTTAAATATACCGTATGCAAATTTAGCATTCACCTTCTTGATGTCACATTCTTCTAGGTGATTTTGTATAAACTGAACACTGGCTGTAAAGTCTGCTGAGTTAAATTCATAGGGAATATTCCAACCCAAGGGCCCAAACTTGCGTCGTTCCTTAGGAATACAATTAAAACCAAATATTTTTAGGAAACAACATACGGTTTTGTTTCATTATTAAAGTTCCATGATAATAATAATAGTTGAGTAAAGAATTGAACTCAAGAAGAAAGCTAGCCTAGGAAACCGCTATGTGCCTCATACACATCAGTAATAAACAAAGTTTACCATTAAATTATGCCATGAGGGATAAATATTTACAGGAAAAGCAGCAGAATCATTTATTGCTACCTTTACTAATCAATGTATCAGTCATAGGTTTGAAACATCTCATGTCTGTGTGGATGATCAGATTTTTATATTAAGTAATTAATTTAAAGAGTTACCAAATCTCTGCATTTTCTGCATACTCAACAATTCCAAGGCCAACAGTTTTTCATTTTTTTCCTACATATACTAATGATAGTTTCAATTTTTCAAGCTCCTGTATTAATACTCAGTTATCCAAAGGCTTCTAGGTTGCCCGTTATTGTTTCACTGTATTGTTTTAGTACACTTTTTCCAAAATTCACAGCTTTATTATAAGGCTGCAACCACTATATTACTCAAATTTATTATTGCGTACATATTTGAAAACAAAATGATAACACCTGCAGAAAAATAGTTGATTATAAAAGAATATGATCTGCAGCTCAAACATTTTAAATATCCAACACTATTATATTTCTCACAACTTTGTTTTAGCCACCTCAGTTACATCACTCAATGATTGTTTTCAGAATGTAGAACTAATTAACCCAAGAAGTTAAGAATTAAATTGCTGAAGACCGCTGATATTTATTAAATGAATAAACGGCGTAGTACTGGTGTTCTAAAATTAACTGAGTGATCAGATATTTATGAGAGTTTAAATTACCAGGTCAACAATGACTGACAGTCTTTGACATCTAGTTAGGTAACACTTAGGTACCTTAGCTTCAATATTTAAAAAGAGCTAGAATTGAAAAAAAATCTTTTATTTTTTCAAAATCAAGCATTGTTTATAGGCAGATGAGAGAGCATTAACCAATAATACCCTGCAGAAAGGTATAATGATTTTCTGCCAAATTCTCTGATTTACTTCTTAAGCCATATTTATCACAGCGATCTTGTCACCAAAGGAAATTAGGAACTGGTCAGTTAAAGGCGAGGCAATGTATATATTGCTTGCTGACTGGCAATCCATAAATAAGTTTTCTGAACAGATGAATAGGCATAATAGTTTTTAAAACTTGGTTGATGAAGCTTGGATCTTCTAGTTCTGCAAGAACAGTATAATCCTGTGGTAGATTTAACACAGAACAACTTATAAAAAAGGTAGAAAAAGGAAAATAATGCAGGATATTGTATCTTAAAAGGGACCTCCAACCCGTTGTCCTTCTCTCACCCTCTTTGTTACACACTGAAAATATGGGCAACTCAATAGAGCCTAAGGCTTAAATAGTGCTTTATGACTATTTTGAGATCCTTGATGAAAGGGTGTATTCAGAAAGCTCAATATGTTGGTATTTATCACGATCTCAAAACTTGTATATCTTTAAAGTACAAAGCATAGATATCATTGTCCTCACATTGGAATTAATGTAGAAAACATTGACACAGATAAGATAAAACCAAGACACTAAGTGATAAAATTTTATTTAATTTTAGCCATCTAGAAAGTAGACAGCGACTCTAAGCCAAGCATCTGGATCGCCTTTGAAATCAAGGAGCAGAAAGAGTGATATATCTCTAGAGAATGATCCACTTTTCTGTAGAGACACAGCTAAGACAGATGAGCTGCTTTTCTTTTTCAGGGTGCTTATCTGTTTCTAATGACTACAGAGAGAGCTTTTCCCCTTACACCAAATGGGTAACTTTTGGACAGCTAAAGTTAGGTAAGAAAAAAATTCTTATTTTAAATGCCCATTGTAGGAAAAAAGCGTAAAATTTATAAAATCTTGTAATACAGACAATAGAAATTCAAGCTTCAGACCTGCAACACGATGCTACAATAAATATCAGAACGTGTATTTTCAGGAATCCCTGCTAAGTGAATCCATATATTATAACACTACTTGCAAACCCCGTAAGAAATACCTGAACAGTAGAATGCAGGAAAGCTACAGTGTAAAGCAAAGGTTTCCACATAGGCATATTTCTAACATCTAACAGATCCTGGTTAATTCCAGAAAATGTTCTTTTCAGTCCGGCACGTATACCTTGGGGAGGTTCATTTGTGAACTTGATAGCAATCTGTCATGTGAAAAAGATAACAGCATTGGATTTGTTTACCGAAACAAAACCAGCAACATGTCACAACTATTAGTTATAAATAAAACGTAAATAGCTGAAGCATTGTAGAATAAAGTTGATACGTAGTTTTACTATAAACTGCATAGAAGGAGTACTTACTAGATTAGGCCACAAAAGATTTTGAACATAGACCTTCAGTTTAGATTCGTCAGAGCGATCGCTGACACTTGTCTATCTAAGAATTTTCATCAAGAACCTGAAAGCAGCTGCCACGCTTTTCAGAAGGCGTCATATGATTCTCTATCCCTGATTTAGTGACTGAAGGGTGGAAGAGAAATGTCCAGAGCAGATGACAAGAACTCTGTTGTATTGCCGGTCCCAGGACTTTGCAGCAAACGCAAAGAGATCTCACCTCTCTTCAGATGAGATCTTTATGTCCACAGTGGCTACTCTGGGCTCTGTGGCTACGTCTCCAGCAGTAAATTAGATTCAACCTGAGAACATTCCTGGGCACTCTGGTCAGCAGGTGCAGAATCCACAGCTGTAGTAGTAAACTGCCACAGCCCCTTAAAATATAGCCCCGTAGTTTCATGTGAACTGCCTGAAGGGAATCGTTGCTACATAATCTTAATTGTCAGACCATACCTGCAAATGATTTGCGAGTTGGCACAGGATTTCACATCAGAGAACGTTGTAACTGCTTATCCCTAGGGGCTGCTCCACTCCAGTGCTGGGTAATGTTCATGGGGCACACCTGAATCTATCAGTTCAGGGACAGACTGGCCTTAGCAGCATCTCTATTCCTTAAGACACTTCCAAATGCTGGAGGAACTCAAATAAAAACTAAGTATTTTTCTGCTCCAACAGTAATTACTGGTCTGGCTGGACTGGGTAACATGGCAGCATGGACTGAAAGCATAATAAATGCCAGGCTGCCCATGAGCTGAATGCAAGAGTGGCTCTGAACTGTTTCCACTTCTGAGACACACGCATGAATGTGTACTTCATACCTGGTAGCTTTAATATCTCCATATTTGTGGTAAAGAAATTAAATTCTTTTTAAGGAATGACTTTTCGACTTCAGTCTCACTGGGCTGCAGAGCCCAGGCAAGCTGTCTCAGAGATGAGCTCTAGTCTTCTGCAAGGATATCCGCACATGAACACACTGAGTGCTGGATTGAATGGGAACACTTGCTAACCAGTCTTTCCACATTTCGAGGTATATCCTTTTCAGTTTTTGACGAATGTTCTGTATATAAGAAAAGCAAATTGTTCTCTTCTTTCTTCTGAGATGGAGCTGACCTTTGGTTTGTCAGTTACTCATTTCTTGGAATTCCTGAATATGTTAATATTTTAAAAGGTAACCTGATGCTATAGACTGGGAAATCACATGCAGTGAAGATTGATCTAGCAACCCTCTCCATTCTTTATTCTCACTTTTAGCAAACTATATGTTTATACACCTCAGTATTCATAAACTCCTTGAAGGTGCAGGATGATTTCATTTTCTATGGAGAAAATACAAGAGAATGTAGGTCCATACAGCTGGCTTTCTGTACACAGTGTTTTCCCATGGTGACACATATTTCTTGAGAAGATTGTCTCCTAGATTCATTTGAGAAAGGGACATTTCCCCTCCTTTACATCCTAGGTGTCAGGTATGGTACCTACTTTTTCTTTTAGAGAGGATGAGAACCACTAAGGAGACCTCTACTGTGTTTGAGAGGAAAGGGGTCTACGAACACAGAAGAGTCAAAGCACAGCTATTATGCTAGACATTAGCCAGCATTATGACCTGCCGTGAGAGTGCTAGGAACCATCATAAGTGACTCAAATGTACTTTGTAAGAGTTTTGGCAATTTTCCTGGTACTGATGAAAAACGTCTCCTTGAGATCTACAGAACAACCATTTATAGTTTATCCAACGAAAAATAGGTGCTTCTTGGTAGATTATGTTCTTTGAGATGTGCTGTCCCTGTGTGTTCTGTCCCCTTTATCCTTTATTTCAGATAGGGAGATCTGGAGGAGTCTAAGAGCAGTTGTGGGCATTACTCTGTTCACAAGGCATCTTACTGAGCAAAAAGGGATATAAGTAAAGCCGTATAGTTTTGATTCAAGTGTTTCTGTGTACAGAAGTAGTGTGAACTCACACATACATAATGCATCTTCCAGAACTTCCAGTTACTGGTAAGTAACCTTCCTGTTTTAAAGTGGTATTTGCATTGTAATGGAAGTTCATTTCTTTCTTGGGTTTTGTATCCACACCCCCCCCCCCCCCCCATTTATTTAATTTCCATGTACACATTTAATGTGAATAATTTGGATGGCATGAGGTACCCAAATTAAATATTAGAACAGACCTGTAGCAGTGTAATTGGGAATTTAGGATGTGGTTCAGTAGTTATCCAAACTCGAAACGTCTCATTCTGTATCTCAGCAGTAAGAAGTGTCTCCAGTAGTTCATCCATGAAATCCAGGCCAAGATGACAATTCTGAAGTAACACCCAGCCTCCCTAAATAAGAATATCGACTATTACCATATAAAATTTAGAACAAGTTATTCACAATGTTAAAATCAACTGTCTATCAAATTTGGCCTTGCATGTAATATTTTGTTTCTTTTAGTTTTTCGACTTTTGGTCTGTTCCTGAATATGTATTATCATGTGATTTGATATGATATTGGCACAGTTAAAGAAAATCGGAAAAGTAAGTGCAAAAGTTATTTCCACATCCTATTGTTCTCAATGAAATGAATATAACGAGAGCCAATATTCTAAGTAAAGTGTCAGTGCTACCTAGTGGCAAAAAGAAGTAATTCCTGTCCTCTCCCAGTTAAACATTGATAAGCAATCCTGCCATCAGATCCAAAAGAATAGCAGTGGAAAAGTAACAGCTGAAATCTAACGAATATATCTTTTTTTAAAACTTATTTGTTAATAACACAATCTAAAGTAAGTGCAGAGAGATGGTGACAAGACTCTGAAACTTTTCAGCTGCAATTAGTTTATCTGCAGTAAATGCATTTGCATGAAATTCAACCTCCACATATTAATTTTCATCTTATTCAACTCTCAAATTGCATGAAAGCTCTATTTTGATTAATATCTCTCCGCACTTCTGCTTATGAATTTAAATTCAATCAGCTTTTGTAGCATCACTTTAGAAGCCTGATGAATCAGAAGCCTGATATTAAAATGGGACATAATTTAATCAGTTCTAAACATTGATGTGTGTATTTCATTACAGCTTGTAATTTTGTTTTGGCAATTTTGTTTAAGCTCATTTAAAAAGAAATAAATAAATCTGGTGACAAAATGTAATTGAAATATTTATGGTGAACTGACGGATTTTAAAAAAAAAAGACTAAATGAAGGAGGGTTTTTTCCTTCTTTTATGGGGATCCACTTTTTTGAGGAAGATCCTCAATCGATTTGTCACATTGCCAAATGAATCAGACTAGGTTTTTGAAAATTATCTACCTGTAACACAGCACAGCAGTTTTAATCGTATTATATACTCTTGGCCAGAGGAAAGAAAAGACCCCCAGATATTTGTCTTCATAGTCACTAATTCTGTTTTGTTATTTCAAATCTGATATTCACATATCCCTCCCTCTATAAAATGTGTGCACCAGCGAGGCATTTAGTTCAGCAATTGTTACTAGTAGCCCTGCTGGAGTGCTGTTTTGAGTATTCTTGTGCATTTAATCGAGGGCAAAAGAAAGGCAGGGATGCCTCAGTTTTCACCATTCCAATGAACTGGAAGTTGATGATGAGTATTCTAGACACATGGACACAAAGAAGTACGACAGATGTACGTGTGCATTTGCACATCATAAAAAATGCCATCTGCTATAGAGAGATTTCTTCTTTCTCTTTTCCCGAAGTGGGGTACGTCTATATTCCAGTACTTGTGTCACAACACTTGGTAGGACTTGAGAGGTTGCTGGGATACGATATAGTGAACTCCATAACCAAGGCTGCATTAGCCAGAGAACCTTGGAGTGTACAGTAGTGTCTAGAAAGCGTGCAGTAAAGGCCATATACAGGTGTTACATACGTCCATAACAGAAAAACACAAAGGAAGCAGAATGTACTATGGTCAAATGAACAAATATCATCTGACAACTTTTTTTTTTTTGCCTCAAATGAAGATATCTCAGATAGCAGGCAATGATCTAGTTGAAGATGTCCCTGCTTACTGCAGGGGGAGTTGAACTAGATGACCTTTAAAGGTCCCTTCCAACCCAAATTATTCTATGATTCTATATAACAACTGGAATTCCCTGGACTGATGTTGTCTGACCTTTTCTTTTTTCTGTGTGAAAGACAGGAAGTCCTGAAAAGGCTCTGAAGCTTTTCAGTTTGTCAGATTAAGAGGACAGGACTTCACAGGAGTCTAAAGAAGCTTTTCCTCATCTCATTATAATTAAACATTAGAGAATAAAGTGACAGAAGAACAGTTTAGTTCAGATGAAAATCTGAAATTATCTTGATTGTTCATCTGCAACAATCTCACAAGTACGTTTGTTCTTGCAGAGCGTTCCGTGTTGTGATCTCATTTTCGCTGTTTGTGCTACCAGAACTCTTAACGGCTGAGGACGAAGACCCAGGGAATCTAATGGATGTCATATATTCTGAGGAGTTAAGTTTTACTTCTCATAATGAATCCATCTTTAACTTTTTATTTAACAATTGATGAATACTCCTAGATATAAAAGCATATGCTGGCTAACAAATAGGTAACATGGTACCACTCAAAACTATTACTGAAAACAAGACAGTTCAGATTTCTTTAGGTGAATATTACAAGCAGTTCTGTACTGCTTTAGTGAGGACTAACTGTTGGTCATGATCATAAGAAAAATATGTTTCATTTATCAATATTGTTCTTGCAGTCTTCTGCTCTCTATTAGAGGAGATATTGTAGGTCTTCAGAATACTGGTATAAGACTAATTCCTGATATTTTGAGTTTACAGGCAACTATGGCTCTATGTCTTCATTTGCAACGCTGTCCACAACTCTTTAAGGTGTCCAGCTGACTAGACAGTGCTACCTTTACACTGTAACTTTTATATTGTATTCGAGTTTTCAATTACCATCATTCTGTAGCTGCTACTTAGACTTCTCATGTTTTTACTGTTTGAAAATATCATCTGCTGTAACAAAATACACTACAGTATTTAAGAGAAAAGTTCTTAAATATTGTTTGGAAATTCTTAGACGTCCTTGGGACTCAAAGCCAAAAGGATTGGCAATTAAAGACAAAAAGAACTGAAAACAGTTGCTGGTGAGCAAGGGGCCCTCTCACTAGCACAGATGCGAGGAAAATGCGAGGCCGTGTTAGGAGCCAGCACATCCTGTTGTATCTACAACTATGCAACATGCAGGTAGCTCTCATAGGGGAGGGGAAAAAAAGAAAAGAAAGAAAAAGAATGCCAGCAAAGAGGTGGGATCTGCAAGTCCTGAAGGATAGAACTAGAAAATTATTTCACCCTTGGTTAACAGTGTAGTCGTAAGAAGGGAATGTGCTGCCCTTGAAAAGCTGCTCAGTGTCACGCTCCAGAAGTATTGACTTGGACTCCACTGGCACATGCATATCCCACAGCAGAACGTTTTTAAGCCCAGGCACTCAAGGACACTTGTTTACCTTGAGATACGCCTGATAGCAAGGTGAAAATGCAGCATATTAAAGATTGCAAGCCAAAGAGGTGTAAAAGAATCAACTTCTATTGCAGTGGTGTTTTCCTACCTGTTGCATTGACATCTGTAGGAATTTGCGTACATGGACTTCTTGCCCTTGACCCATGGAGATGATCCTACATTCTATAACATAGTTGACAACGCATGATTAATGAACTTACATTCTTAAGAAAAAGTAAGAATTCAGATTCAGTCCCAAAAAAGTGATATTAACGTAGCAAAATTGAGTACATTTTAATGCAAAAACATATACTTATGAAAGTAGAATCCCTTCACCGTTACATTATGCTACTATGTATACATTTTCTAGACACTGAAACTTTATAAAAATAACACTAAAATGTACATCCACAATATTTCGTGTTTGTAGAAGTGAAAGACTGTGACTTACATTGCTGACAATGGGAATTTGTGCCAAATTTTAATGAAGTAAGCCACAGCATTTGAAATAGAAAGCCAGATTTGTCTTTAAGTGAAGATAATGAAGCCACATAAATAAGCAGTATGCATAATTGTGAAATTGCATTTGTGAACACTTTAATGTGACTAATATAATGAATATAATTGTCTCCTTCCAGTTCAGTTTGTATGCACAGTTTTTCAAAATTTTCATATAAGGTAGACATAAAGTCCAGAATATAGAAATGCAGATCTTGTGGGTATTTTTGGTTAGACAGCAATCTTGTAAGCAGATTGCTGATCGTTACCTTACCTGCAGTTAAGAGTTAAAACAAGAAAACAGTATTGTCACCATGCCAGAATTCTTTTTTTTTTAAAAAAAAAGGTAAATATTGTCTTACAGACAGGGATTTAAACAGTATTATCACTGGGAAGGATGATAACAATTTATAAAAAAAGAACTGAAAACATTACTGTCCGACTGTACACAGAATGTTTCTCAGCATACCATCTTTTATTTAAAATACTATTTTATTTCTAAGATGGTGTTTTGGAACAAATAATAGTGCAACAGAACTTAAGAAATACCTTTCAGAAAAAAGATCTCTGAAATTACTTGATTACCCTTCTGTATCTTAATGCGTGACAATGAATTATTACTTTCATACCCAATTTAAGCTTCCTAGCCAAGGAATCAATCTGAATAGTTGGGTCAGATCCCATAGACAAGAAACAGATGAGAGGTGTTCGTGTGTCACTTTCCTCCCAAGTTTTCTCTAAATTCAAAATGACGGGTTCTGTATATTTCTCATCCAAGGAATTTGCAATATATTTCCTGGCTTGGGAAAGCGTTCGGTCTGGACACCAAGATCTAGAAATTAAAATATATACCAAGATACAAAATTCACTGCCTCTTCCTGTTGCAAAGACTAGGCTTTGAAAAAAGAAATACTATTTTTATCAAATACAGGTTTTTGCTTCATAATATGCTTCAACACACACATTCATATACATGTTTGTAGGTTTGTCTTTACAGATGCAGTTACAGACAGAGCTGTTAGTCTCCCTCTATTTATGACTGTTCAATACTTTTCAGTCGATTACAATTTTGCTTTAAGTAAACGATTTACACTGGAATTTTCTGTTCTGGGTCCCTTTATCAGGTTGGGATATTCCTCATTTTAAATAGACCTTTTGCATCTGAGAACACAAGTAAGAAATTTAAGATTGGTTTTGCCCTTTAGTGAAATTCTGCAGGTGTTTCATTGGGTCTGTTAGTCTTTGAGAGTACAGACCCAACTCTTTTGCACTTGGTTGCATTTGTGTTGGGGATGAGTCTTTATTCTTCTCATGGGGATAAAAAACAACAAACAAACAACTACTTTTGGATAAAAGATACAACTTTGCAAAACTTCAGTTACTCTTATTATTTAAAGGCTTAGGACTTAGATGCTCCCCTCCCCATTTAGGGTATATAACATATAACACCACAGTACTTCTTCCATCAGATTCTGGCTTTTTTTTACTGCACAGGTTGAATCTGCTCCAAAGACAAATCATGGTCTAGTAATTAATGTTGTTGTTTTTTGCAGTGTCTCTGATTTATTTGTCGCAGCACTTGGAAAGTATACAATGACCGTAGGAAGGTATGATCTCATGCATAAGGCAGCTGAATGCTGCTTTGGGGAAATCCATTCTGTCCCAAGCCCTGCCACAGAGATCTTAGCTGATGCAATAAATTAATTTAGAGCCCCTTTTCACACGGGGTTTTTGAATAACTGTTTTGCATTTTCACAAATTTGGTTGTTTTTTTTTTTTTTTGGTTTAAATTATCTAAAGTTATTTAAAATAGTTCATTTCAAAATAAATTAAAAAAAAATTTAAACTATCTGAATCATGCTACTTTTTTAGTGGCTTTTTGGAGAGGGCTGCAATGGGATTCCCAGTTTCCATTTGTCATGACATAAAAGCAAAGCTATAAAAAAATATTTTCTAGAAATAGCTTTTCTAGACTCTTCAGAGGATAGCTCTGAAGTGAGCGAATTAAACCGTATTTCATGTGAGTGAATTAAATAATGTTTCATGTCACCCAGAAATTAATTAAAATCGCACTGTTATGATAATAGCATACCAATAGACTGAGATGTGATGCAGCCATGTAGGTTATTCCCTAAATTTCTGAAGGTGCTCACCTGATGAGTAAAAGCTTGCGAAAGGTATCAAGTGAATCATTATATCCATCAGGTATAATTTCTTCCTCGGGAGCATCTTTATCAAACCAACTTTTCCATCCCTTTCCATTACGGGCTATCTAAATTCATTACATAAACACACATACGTTTCAGCTGTAGTAATGTCCCCTTGTAAATGTATATTTTAATGAGAGTCTGTTATTATATTAGGATACATTACAAGTAACATTAAGAGTCTCTAGCATTTAAGACACATGCCAAGTGAATTGCTATTGAGCTATTACAAATAGAAATTTTAGTATTAAGATGCAGGCTCTTAAGCTAATCTGTTATCCATGGATTCCCCTTCCAAACACATGCAGCTATGTAAGAAAAATGAATAGTTAGCAGAAGGATTCTGTACTACTAGAGGAACATACTGTGATTAAATTATTCCTTCTGATAAGAAAATACTAAGAGGAACAGAAAAATCTGTCCCAGTACCGTCCAGTCAAGAATGGTCTGGGAGAGGAGTGAGAAATGAACATACAGAGACCTCTTCCAACCAGGTATTGCCTATAATGAAATTAATTCAAAGAGATTCACAAACACCAAATGTCCCTTTCTGAACTATAATCCGAGAAAAAAAATTTACTCTGTGAGCAAATAGCTCAGTTCTACGGTAACTGCTATCAACCTGAGCACATGCTAGCAGAGTGTTCAGAGGAGGTACCTTCTCAACGCCAGGCCACAGCCAGAGATAGGTTACTGAGCTACAGGGACTTCACTTGACTCAGTAAAATCATTAACCTTTCATTACATCTTTCTTTGTACCATCTCTCACTCAACCACAGCTGGAAGTAGTAAGAGTGTGAAAAAGAACAAGGTCATGTAAATGTTTAAAGAGGAACATGTCTTTATTAAATTAAGTTAGGCATCTGGGACTGGAGGACTTCAGTTTTAGAGGAGGAAAAGATTTGTAACTGGCAAGAAAAAAAGAAAAACACAGGCAACCCCTTGAGAACTAGGCATACCATTTTCAGGTTTTTTTCTTACTTTAAATAATTTTCTGCTTGTATCTAAACGAATAATAATACAGTTGTATTTAACATGATGAGCCAAATAGAACAGCATATGTAACGGATGCAAATAAGTATTTAAAAACATTATTGCCATATTTGCATTTTTCATTGATATCCTAGTTGGCACCCTCCCATATTCCATCTCTATCTATTACTAAAATCACCTAATTGTCACTTTTCAACTTGTAAATATACGGTAATGTAACGGGTTTGCATGGCAAGGTTTTGGTAGCGGGGGGATTACAGGGGTGGCTTCTGTGAGAAGCTGCTAGAAGTTTCCCCATGTCCAAGACAGCCAGTGTCAGCCAGCTTTAAGTCAGCCCCGCCGCTGGCCAAGACCGAGCCCATCAGAGACAGTGGTAGCGCCTCGGGGATAATGGGTTTAAGAAGGGGAAAAAAGTGATTGCACGGCAGCAATTGCAGCCAGAGAGGAGTGAGAATTGGGGAGAGAAACAACTCTGCAGACACCCAGGTCAGTGCAGAAGGAGGGGGAGGAGGTGCTCCAGGCACCAGAGCAGTGATTCCCCTGCGGCCTGTGGTGAAGACCACGGTGAGGCAGGCTGTGCCCCTGCAGCCCATGGGCGGTGGAGCAGATGACTGCCTACACCCCGTGGAGCACCCCACGCCGGAGCAAATGGATGCCTGAAGGAGGCTGTGACCCCGTGGGAAGCCCGCACCGGTGCAGGCTCCTGGCAGGACCTGTGGCCCGTGGAGAGAGAGAAGCCCACGCTGGAGCAGGTTTGCTGCCGGGGACCCCATGGGGGACCCACGCTGGAGCAGTTCATGAAGAACTGTAGCCCATGGGAAGGACTCACGCTGGAGAAGTCATGGAGGACGGTCTGCCGTGAAAGGGACCCCTTATTGGATCAGGGACCCCACATTGGATCAGGGGAAGCACGTGAGGAGTCCTCCCCCTAAGGAGGAAGGAGCAGCAGAAACAACGTGTGATGAACTGACCACAACCCTCATTCCCTGTCCCCCTGTGCCGCTCGGGGGGAGGAGAGAGAGAAACCAGGAGTAAAGTTAAGCCAAGGAAAGAAGGGAAAGGTGGAGGTGGAAGGTATTTTAAGATTTGGTTTTATTTCTCATTCCTCCTGAGTTGATTGGTAATAAATTACATTTTTTTCCCAAGTTGGGTCTGTTTTCTCTGTGACAGTAAATGCTGAGTGATTTCCCTGTCCTTATCTCGACCCATGAGCCTGGTATATTTTTCTCTCCCCTGTCCAGCTGAGGAGGAGGAGTGATAGAGCGGCTTTGGTGGGTACCTGGCATCCAACCAGGGTCAACCCACCACAGGTAATTTTAAGTTAGAGCTACAAAATCAGTTAAAAGAGAGGCCTTTTGGTGTAACATGGTCGCCCAAGTATTTTGGAGTCTGAAATTTTGTTTGCACCAATTCTAGAAAAGTCTATAACAGAACCATTACAATTACAAATTAAAAGCAAAATACGTAATTCAAAACCCCATGGCTAAATTTAAATATTGTTAGCAAGTGTGCAGTGGCGTACTTTTGGGTTCCAGTGCCCTGAGCCACCCAGAGTGAAGAGCTAACTAGAATTCCTCCAGGTTTCTCCTAACTCAAAATCCTGTTTTCATACCTCCAGAAACCAAAACCTGTAGGAAAGGGGCTGGTACGTATCCAGATCTTGCCTTGATACAGAGTTGGGAAACAGCCAGAACCACTTCTAAGTACCCCATTTAGATCAAATCTCTGCTACCCTTCAGGGCACCAAACGTCATCACAAAATGGACTAGGCTGACCAATGCTGTAACAGCAAGAACAACTTCGTGTCCTGGTTATCAGGACAAGGAATAACAAGGAATGCTTAGGAAGTACAGAAAGATGCTTAGGGAGTGTTTTAACTACACTAGAGAAAGATAAATTTACCAAAGTAAAGAAAATAACTGGTAAACAGGTCACAAGCTTATATGCATATAAGCTCATGTATGCCCCGAGAAAATAAATGATATTTTTATATCTAGCTTGTCATATCTGAATAATATGTTAACCTTGGAGTGGAAATGAGTATTTAAAAACAAGCAGCAATTTACTTGTAAAGAAAAAAAAATAAAAATCTATCAGACTCAGAACATAGAACATTGTAAATTAAAATCTGACTCTCATAGATTGTCTGAGCCTTTTTGATACCTCTACTTTATTATCCTTTCTCCTTATTTCTGTCTCTCTCACTGACTTCCTTTTTTACTAGTTCTTTGCAACTGTTCTCTTCCTACCTCAATGAGTATAATACAAAAAATACAACAAAACACATTAAAAAAAAAAAGAGTAGAGCAAATAAATATGCCCCCATTCATGCTACCTAGCTGTAAATGTCTATGCCTTTATTCTGTATCTCTCTGGCCTCAGTCTAACTACCTACATCTCTTGTGCATTCCAAATGTAAAATATGGATCCAATTATGACTGGGAAACTGGTTATTATCACTAAAAAAATAACCTCTAGATATCACCTGATTCAAAATTTCTGCAAATTGTGGAAGTTTGCTCAATTCCACTAGGTTCAACCACGTCATGTCAAGAATCCAGCAGAACGGTTTGGGTGGGCAAGCCTGTAGATCCAATGCTGCGCCTCCTGTGGATAAAAACACTCTGATGAATTGCCATGACATTCCAGGGGTCAAGACGTTTATTTTAAAATTACGTTTTCTAGCCCATGTAATTTTTACCAGGGTAATAATTGCACTTTTGTACTTTGCATTTATTTCGTAAGATCATAGGATAATTTAGTCTGGAAGAGACCTCAGGAGATCTCTAGCCCAACCTGTTCACAGCAGGGTCAGCTATGAGATAAAATCGGGTCTTCATCCTGTCTGGTATTGAAAACCTCCAAGGATGGAGACTGTACAACCTTTCTAGACAATGTGTTCTAATGTTTGCCTGTCCTCATAAGGAAAAAATTTCCCTTTCACCCATTCTGAACCTCTCTTTTTTCAGATTGTTTCTGTTGTCTCTCATCTTCCTACTATGCAGCACTGAAGAGCCAGGCTCTGTGTTCTTCATGGCCTTCTCACAGCTGCTGGAAGGCTGCTATCAGGTCTGCCCTAAGCCTTCTGTTCGCTGCATTGAACAAGCCCAATTCTCAGCCTCTCGCTGCAGATCGTGTGCTCCGTATAGTTTGTTGTTAAAAGTTTATACAATGATACTGATTATATTTGAAGTAGAGGAAATTCTTTCATAATCTCTTTTCCTTTTCATCTGTGCTGACAATACAGTAAAGGTAATTATGTATTTATCTGAAAGATAAAAATATTCCTCTGAAGACGGTCTATATTTTATCCCACTATTCCTAAAAAGAAAAGAAATTCTTATTTTCTCATCTGCAAACATAACATAATTATTAATTGTCCACCAAAATAGCATACTTGGCAATATTTCTGGCTTTAAGTCAATAAAGCCAAAGATGTTTTGCAATTCTTCTGTAAAATGCTCTCTAATATTTATGGAGCTTCTTAGTAAATATATTTTCTGCTGCAGAAGAGCATATTCTTCCCTTGTGCCAGTCCCTCCAGTCCCTCACTTTTTACTGGTAAAGTATGCAGCTTACCTAAGTGTCAAAATCTACCTGCTTAGATTTTCTCATTTCTTTTGGTTTTGATTTTGTTTTGTTTTGTTTTGTTTTTTTTCCTACAGTTTTAATAAAAATTCTGTACCACCATCACAGGAGGCTATTTTCCTATGATTTGGGGACCTGCTTTCTCTGTTTTGCTGACTTAAGGTTACCTTCAACTTATGCATTAAAGTATTCAGGAAGGGCCTAGTGTTTGGCTGTAATGGAATACAGAAGATAGAATGAAATTCAATTTGTGTACTCTAGCAGAAAGAAAGATTTTGAGTTTATAATCTCCTGGGACTAGATGAATAACAAGTTCTGGAAACTCTTTCATTTCAAATAGCAATGCTTATCTCACTGAGACGTTCCCTGATAAGATGGCTGACAATAAGCCATGAAAGCTCTCCTGGAAAAGAAACGGAAAGAAGAGGAAGAGATTTATTTTTCAAACAAACCCTTTCTTCAGTTGCCCAATGATGCATGGCAATCATTTTGCACCAAGAACTGCTCATCCAAGGAGGAAAACTGAACAATTCATTGCAGAAGAATGTCCAGGACAATTTGGCTAGGCATCTGCCCACTTCTCAATCTTATTTAATATCATGTGAATAATTATAGAAAAATCTGTTGTTACTTTGGTGTCATTTTGTACATCAGAAGAATTTCTCAGTGTCATTTTACTCACCAGACGGATTTCTCACTATCAAATCAACTGTGGCAAAGCTAGGCAGGAAACTGCAGTCATATGTTCTAGACAAAAATTGCTAAAAGTACTCCTGTATTTTATTACAGATTCTCATCAGTTAAAAAGGGGTAAATGACCACTTTCTACTTCAGATGCCCAAGGTGTATTTTCCTCTGGCAAAACAGGAATCCATGACCTGAGAAGCCAAGAAATATGGTTCCTTGTCTAACACTTCACTAAAGCAGACAGTTCATTTTGAAAGAATTTCCAAGCATGCCCTGCCTGACATCAGTGGTAAACTGGTAGCTGAATACCATTCTTAAAGGATAAAACCATTACAAAAAAACCTGGAAAGCAAAACAGAAAGTGAATTTAATCTTGTTTCCTACCCATTTTATTCATTAGAGGCAGATAATGATCTTCGAATCTAGGTTCACTACTTTGGCATTAGACCTTTGTCAGATTCATCTGAACACTGAAAAATTCAAACAGATTTTATATGGCCCTCCACATAGCAATCCTGATCACATTTTTCAGCAGAGGCACAAATTCACAGAGCACAGGGGAGGCAGACCTGGCCAACTGGGCCACAGAAACACATGATGTTCTCTAAAAGTCAGTGTTAGCTGGTTGGCAAAAGCCAGAGAAAGCTCAAGCTGAAACTGATAAAAGACTGTCGCACCTCCTGGACTTTATATGGAGTTGTTCTGGCAACTTAGGAGGTAGATTTGTTCAGCTTCACCAAAGCAGAGAAGCAAAGGAGCAAGAAGTCAAGGAGCAAGAAGTGATCTAATTTATAAAAATAAGGATACAAATATAGTACAAAAATACACAATTATTAAACCAAGTCATGGAGAGAAGCAAAACTATCACCTTGATGTCAGGATAGAACGCAGCCTGGATAAATGGTGGAGGTAGAACTGCGATGGAGAACTGCATCTAACTCCACTGGACTGCACCAGGGGTAAGGACAGAGGCAGCTCCCACAAAGCTATTGGTAGAAACTATGCAGCCAAAAAATTACACTTTGAAAAGGTACAATAGTTTAAAAAGTCAAAATCAGCTCCACATATAGCACAATTTTTTACACTTACCTCTAATGAGTGCATAGAATTCTCTGGTTTTCACATGCCCTCTCTCAAGGTCAATTTTTAACGTCAGGAAGAGGGTAAAGAGGAATTTGTGGTTTTCATACAAGCCTCTAACAAAATATGAGTAAATTTCAAAGGTAAGATACTCAATAATATTTGAGATTCTTTTCTGAGGTAAAGGAGACTTCTTAGATCTGAATTGTGAAAACAAAGCACAAAGAAAGCATGTTAATAACAGCAAATACATTGGAAAGACAAACATCTGAATAGTAGAAAAATCTGTGTCTTCCTACTTGGCCATGGACTGATCAAATAACTTCAAGAACTGAGCCAGTGAAGTCTGATACATATTATTGACCATGCCCATTTCTGTAATAAGAAAATAAAGAATGCTGCCACGTGTAGCAACAGGTCGATATTCTTCCTGAGCAGTGTTAATCTTCACTTCAGTTTCTGCTGCCACAGACAACTTTTCAGCTACTTCAGCAGCTGTTTGCTTAGTTGTTTGCAGAACACCAATCAAGGATTCATCATCTACTAGTGAACCTAAAAAGTCAAATATTGTATGTTCAGTACATTATCATAACAATTTTTTCACTTCATATATGTAAAAATCAAAAAGCCATATTACAGGAATTGTTTATAACAAGTGGAAATGATTCATTGAATTGCAGAAAGCTTTTAAAATGGAAACCAAACAGGATATGTAATACTAAAAATTATTTTTATATTCAACAGGCTAAATAAATGCATTCAACCTATGTCAATATCAATGATTCTATACCAACAGAATGCTGCATACATGTTTGTAGCATGTACTAGAGAAGTCAGCTTTCCTATGCACATAACACATATTCGTACACAGTACTCCAATTATTTTAAAGTCTGTTAATTGGTATGCTCAAAGTCAGAAAGACTGAGGGTCCTAAATGCCATAGTCACACAACAGTATTCATGCATCTCAACCACTTGCTGATTGATTTGCTGGAAGTTACCACCTTCTTTTTCCACCAGAGATGGTAATCTATCATGTGCAGGCTCCTAATATACTGCAAAAGACTTCCCAACGCCATTTAAACCCATTTTACTTTGCCTTTTCAATGGATCAAGGATGTGCCCATGATCAGTTACCTTATCTTATTTGAGTGTCAGAAAGCTTTGTTTAGGTGTTAAAAGTACTTAGTGTCGAGAGTTTTACATAGTGGCAGGCTACAGTACCAAATCCCTCACACTCCGGTAAATCACCATCCTTCAAATTTCTACCATTGGATAATCTCTTATTGTATCTTGGATGGATAAATCAGTTTCTGTGTGGAAAGGTGAATCAGCTTAATCTGCCTCATCTGCTTAATTATTTGATACAGAACCTCTGGTTGCACTTAGTTTGTACAGAAGATTGTCTTCCAGTTCTTTCATCTTCCTCTTATTAAAAGTTACATCTTTCATGAGTTGAATTCGTTCTGCCTCTTGCTCCTATTATTAAAAAACAAGAAAATGGCATGATACTTTACGGACTCTGACTACGAGTCTTACTTAAAATCCAGCTGCTGATTTTTCAAGTTCATGAAAACTGATTGAAGAGATAGGTGAAGAGTTGGATCCAGTCATGAAATGTGCCTTTTCCCTTTTCAGGTATCCAAAATATGTTTTTATAGCATCCTCTTATTTCTAAGCAATGTTTATTCAGTATCTTATGAAGTATCTTATCAATGCCAAATGCTTGTGCTTAATTGTTTGGGTTGTACTGACAGGCTTACATAGAAGATCCTCTAGATGTATTTTTGTTATCTGGAAATTTCTATACTGAATCTCAAGAAAATTTTAGAAAATGGCTGATGTCTTTTTTCTATTTGAGCATTTCTTTTTCCCTATGTACTAAAGCCAGTTAAATAAATAAAAAATAAGCATCGCTATGGTTTGTGTGTACTGTTAGGTTACCTTTTTTTCAGTAAGAATTACTCTTCTCAGTAACTGATTCTCAAGTCCTTTCATTGTAACAGTAAAATCAATAATTGACGTTTTTGCATTGATTTCAGGTGTGAAAGCAGGATTGGGTAGCTTTGTAGTAATGTACAGTCTAAATGAACTCATAACATTTACTTCCTTATCACCAACTTTCACCTGTGGAATAAGTTAGAATTGTATTAAGGAGAGGAAAATGGGCTTTATTCAACTCAATAATATTGACCAGAAAAAAAACCCTACGTTATTTGAAATGTGAAAGAGAGGAAGTTTATTTCACAATTCAAAATTGTCAGGAAAATAATGATCGATGACTAAAGGCAGCAGTTAGGATATCTTACAAAAGTAGCACTCCCCTCCCTTCACCTGTGGAATAAGTTAGAATTGTATTAAGGAGAGGAAAATGGGCTTTATTCAACTCAATAATATTGACCAGAAAAAAACCCTACGTTATTTGAAATGTGAAAGAGAAGAAGTTTATTTTCTATTTACCATTCTATTCCAACTAGAAATGTACTAGAATATATTTTCTAATAAAAAAATACAGGGATTACTTCCACTGTGGATTCTAATTAATGGCTTCAGAACCATTTGGTTCAGGTTTTGTGCTTCTAATCACATCTCAAATGAAGATGGTAGAAACTATTAACATTTGGAGAAAGCATTGCTCTCTTGTGCTCAGAGAAAAGGTAATTATATGATCCAACAATGGAACAGAAATTTTTGGAAATTAGTTCTATATTTATTAAGACTAAGTGGATCTTAAAGAATATTTCTAAAGGAACTATAAATTTACTCGGAATTTTCCACAGAAATTTTTAGAGAAGTTAAGTCTAACTTGAAAGCTGCAAGGAAACCTGATCACTGTGTATAATCCTCCAAGGCCACTTCAAATACCTGCCTTAAGACGCAGTAGGACCAAACCACACGCTTAAGCATATTGTTTGCTCTGACAGTCAAAGTAAAACTATTCCACAAAAACAGCAATCATTTTATTTTCATTATCATCAACAATTTGGTCTACCATCTCTCTCATATCCCAGCCAGTTAATTAAGATTATTTGAGAAAAATATATATGGAAATATTCAACATGTGCAGTCATTTTATCTCAGGATGTCTGAAGGGGGGTTGTTTTTAAAATTTGGGAGTGATTTCTTCGTCTGATGAAAGTCAGAAACACTCATGATTTTTCAAGGTTGGGAATATACTTAATATTATTAGTAAAACTTCATGGGTTTTGGCTTGTTCCACCTGAAAAGAACTCTCTTCCAGATTAAAGATTCTGCAGTTGCTACAAACAATGCAAGGAAGAGCGAGATCTTTTCAATTCTGTTAATTCTGTTAAAGGATGTAAAATGAAATTGCTTGAAAATCAATAGAAAATATTGTAAGCTTTCAATAGTATAAACATAACTGGTTCCAGTTTGGAACCTTCAGTAGTAACTCCAGTAGTTAAACTCAAATTTTAACCTCATGAACTTACTCATGAACTCAGCTGAGGCTCTGTCTCCTACTTTTTATTAGTTCAGTTTGAGTCTTCGCACTACCCTAACTAGTACAGATTTTACCTGATTTTAGCAGAGGTTTGGAATAAAAGGGTAAAATATAATTCATCACAAAGACAGCTACTTATTCCAGGTCTTTTGTTTGTTTACTAACCTTAAAAGAAGTTCCAGCTTTTATGAAATTCTTTTCTAATACATTATCAAGGACAGGATCCAACTCTTCACCTATATCTTCAATCACAAGTGATCGTCCAAGTGAAAGGCTGTCTTCTAGGTGTGTACGGAAATACTTGTCATTCAACGTTGTTACCTCAAAAAGTAAATTATAAATTGATATAAGGACAAAAACATTTCTTCAAAGTCTTACGTGAAAACCAGAGATCTAACTATGAGAACTTTTTTCATTGTTTTTGTTAATGGCAGTTCAAAGAAAGTAATAAACGTTGACCATGCAGCAGTTTATGCAGAAATACTTCTTGTGCATACAATGACAAGTACCTTGAAAAGGTGAATTAAAAGACTGGCTGTACTAGAATCCGACAAACTTCATTATGAGAGTAATAATGCACCAAATAAAGCTGATACAGATTGTTGGGAATTGAAGGTGTTACATACAGTTTTGAAATCAGAGACACATAACTGCTAATTTTCTGTTCTGTGTCTGTCCTGAGGACTAGATTTTCTAATTTTAGCATGAAGCATCGAGAAATTCTTTCCAGAAACCTGAATTCAGTCTAACAAATGAGTCGCTGTTACAATATTATGAACTCAGATCTTTGAAATATCATGGAATGGGATTCATAGTATATGAAATAATTAAAAAACATGAATAAATAAATAAACCACTAATTTTGCATGGCTTTCTAGGTTTTGGCTTTCAGAAAGTTCTCCTATTATTTTCAAGGTTTTTCTCTGCAGGTCTGAAATGGAGCCATTCTACTGGAAAACAGCTTTGCAAACAAGTTGCCCAGAGAGTTGGTGAAGTCTCCATCCTTGGAGGTATTCAAAACCTAACTGGACAGAGTCCTGGGCAACTTCCTTTAGTAGATCCTGATCTAAGCAGGGAGGTTGGACTAGATCATGTTCAGAGATCCCTTCCAACCTCAACTTTTCTGTGGTTCTGACAGTTTGCTTTATTAATGATAAAATTATAAGCAAGAACTTCACATCCCTTTTACTCCAATACTTACAATCTTCAAAATCTGGAGATCCTAAAACCCCGAAAATACATGGAGATTCAGGAGGACATACGAGATTTTGCAACATTCATATTAAGGGGTTTAAAATCACGTTCCTTTTCCCACGCTACTTCATTTGTGATGCCAACTACAGGTGACACATGAATATCTTTGCACTATATTTTATGAGCAGACATTTAAATCTATTGTCTCAAGCTATAAAAGAGCTATTAAAATCGCAGTAACATTAGGATATCCAAATTTGTCTTGGATTTGCTTTCAACTGGTTATCCTTTGTAGCAATAACTTCATGTATGAAATCATCTCGGGTTCTAAATTCTGGACTTCATCGGTTTAAGTACTTTGGCTGCACTTTCAAAGCTGTAAGTTATCCTCCCTTTGTCTGTAACCTTACTAATAGTTGCCCAATTTACTCTCATTTAATAATTTCATATTGTGCTCTCTTACTGTGTTTTTCACCACTTTGGTATGTTCCCTATACAGGGGGCAATTTTGAACACAAGGCCACCTCCTTCTCTTTCAGACTTCTTGCTGGATTTCAAACCGGTATTTACTTATTTTATCATCTTTCCCAAGTCCTTGAATAGGGTTTACAGCTCTTGTCAAGATCCCTCCTGACACATCTATGTCATTGTCAGTCTCCACACAAGTTAAAGTTATCTCAGATATGCATGTGACTGAAATGCAGACATACCATAAAGCAATAATGTTTGAAGGAATACAATAAAGCACACGATTCCTTTAAAAACTGTTCACCTGTAATTTGTTATCCTGTTCTTTCTTTTTAATCCACGATTTTCCTTGAGTTTGTGGGTCTACCAAAAGCGGGTATCTAGTTGCCTTAGTGACAATGATACCATTCTGAATTGAAAGATCATCTCCAGGCAGTCCTTGAAGATTCCACTCACTAATCTGAGGGAGGGGAGGAAAAAAAAGTAGTTTGGAATAAAATCTCACTGTAATTATCCTTCAATTACAATTGTTCTAAGAAATAATGGGAATAACAAGCCAAAAGGGGATGTATATCTAAACCTGCTGAAAAATGATTAATGTAGATGGAAAAATATTTCCAGGATTTTATTTTTATGGATATTTTTAATTATATATAATGACAAAAAATATATTTTAAAAGTGTAAGAAACTCAAAAGGCAGCTTGACAGCCAAATTAAACACTGGGATCGATTAGGAGAAAACCAGGCTAAGATAGCTTTTGGGGCTTAATGTTTACTGGAGGAAACTTGAAGATTCTGGCATTGTCCTCTGTTGGATTTCTCATACCTTCACACTGAATGAAAAGACTTTATACATTCTTTTTTAAATGTTCTTTTTGATATAAATTTTTTTTTGAAAGCAGACTCGGGTAATACTGACAGAACCAAAAGCTAACAACCAAACCCACTGTTTTAGTAGATATGTGATCTTTATCTGTGGTGAAGGGTTCTCAAAATAAGCTACATGAAAGTGCAGTCTTACTGGCAATTGTGTAATTGTGTAATATATCTATCTAAACTTTGCTCCATACCAAGGTGTTTAGTGGAAACTGAAAAGAACATTTGAAAACCACAGAACTACATTGCACAGCAGTATTGGGGATTATAGTTCTGTTCCAAACAAACATAATGCTGCCTAACAGTCACAGAATATGTTAATTGGCATTAAAATGAAACCCACCAAGCACCAAGAACTTACTGTTGGCAGATCTACCAACATAGAAATCAGGTTCAAATTTTCAGAAAAGGGGATTTCATGGGCTCTTATCTCTGCTTCCCATAAATCTTTAAGCAAAAGCTTCCTGAAGGTTTGATTAAAAGGTCCACAGTATGAAAGAAAAGCTGTGCAGAGCAGTACATCTCCCACAAGCCTAGAAAAGGAAAAAAAAACCCATAATTAAAAGGTGTTGTACAATTTCAATCTCCATTGATTTAGACAACCAGCTTCTGAAACATAAGAAGGTTTCTGTTCCGAGGACAATTTAAGGAGAAAACTGTTGCTTATTTGTACTTCCAAAATATTTTTGTAGCAAAACTATTTCGGGATAGTCCACTTAGTTGTGTAACTATAAGATTTCCAGGAGAAAAATGAAGAACAACTATTATAGCTACTATATTGCTTGTTAGCTCTTCAGTTTTTACAGGTTTGGGGTTTTTTTCTCTGATGAATTGGATACCTGTTAATCTGAGATTTAAATTCTTTACTTTGCTGAGTCCACCTAACTTTCTCTCCACTCAGTCCATCTATAAGCACAGAGGCTGCTTGCATCTTTCTTCTGCATGTTTCTGCATCATTCAGCAAGTCCTAAAATTAAAAAAAAAAAGTCCTGCATAATTTAATAATCAAACACAAAAATCTAAAGAGTTTTTTCATCCTTATATTTATTATGACTTTCATATATTTAATTTTTGAGAACTCTAAGTGCATCTATTGTCTGGCATGTTCCTATTCACAGAAAGAAGGAAATATGGGAGAGCATAGTTTAAATCTCTTCTTTTCATACCTGAATCTCATCCACGTCATTCAAGGTAGCAGGCTCTAAATGTGTGTTTGTATCAATTCCTGCTCACACAACAGTATTGTATGCAAGCACTTTTCATCATTTTAAAATACTTTTCTCTCACCATTTTCTCCTTCATTGCTGCATCAGACTTGGCCTGCACTTTATCCAGTTCAGCTTGCTTTTCATCTAATGCCTCCTGAGCCTCTGCTAATTCTGCATTAGCTATTTTCAGGCGGCCTTCCTGTTTTGCCAAGTTAGCCTGCAAAGAGAAGGAATACTAAAACAGTAATCATACAAGATTTGAATGTGCTTTGATGAATTATTTTAATCCTGCTTAGCTGGTAATCATGAGACAATAATACAGCAAAATAACTTTTATAGTAATATTTATATAAATATTTAAAATATTTAGTCTGAAAACTGTGTCACATAGATACTGCAGACATGATTTTTTTGTTAAATAACAACGTAGCACTCAAAAGTTCCTACTATATGTCCACTTCATTTCTTTCAAAAAAGTTTAAATTCAAAGAAGCTGGTTAAGGAAGTATCTGATCCGTACGTATTGATTAGCCTAGAGGAACAATCACTTAATCTTCTTGCTTGATTATATGCTTTATTTTTTTTTTTATTTGTACATTCTGTAGCTATCAACAATTGCAACAACAGGAGATCGGTCCTTTATCAGCTAACAGCACAGATTTACTCACTACAAAACCGTGGTCTTAAACCAGTGAATCTTCCCATTGCTCCTACACTAATATTTATGCTGAACTCAGGAGATTCATTAAAAAAATGTTTTTGAATCATCCACCTGCATTGCTGTTGCTTTTGTAAATACCACTTCTACCAGTGACAAAAACATGGAAAAGGTTTGGAATCACAATTCAGATGCTTCCCCCCGCACTTTTTTTATAAACTGTGCCACATGTAGTAATCAAATACCTGGTTTAGGATCCAAAAAGCAGTGCCTTTGAGTTTCTGTATGGTCTTTGCCTTTGATAAAATTTTTAATGCGAATGTTCACAAACATAAAAAAGAACACCCACACTGAAGTAAAAATTACTCTTAAAAATGTTTTACTCAGTTTGGTTCCCACTATTGCAACATAACTCCTTTATTGCAGTGAGCTCAGAGTCTCTTCAGAGTGCCAATATTTGGGCAAGATATCAGTCCTCCGCTCCCTCCAACTTACTGTGTGAAAGCGAAGGAGGTAAAATAGCTGCAAACCTCTGTTTGCAGGAGTTTTTAGAGAAGGAATAAAGATCCTGGTACAACTTTTTGAAGACAATTATAAAGTAATTATAACATAATAAAAACAAAGACTGAAAACACCTTTCACTGTACACAGTAAACCAGAGCACACAAATTCAATGTGGGCTATCTTTTTTGTTCTGTGTTCTGTCTAGAATCAAGAAGAGGATATGGGGGGTTTCTGCTTTTATCACCCTTAGCCACCAAAGTCTACAAGGCAATTAAGTCTGAATGAAGTTATCTAAATATATTTTTTAAATCCTACTACTATTAAAGTAAATAAAATTAAATTACATGGAAAGCAAACACAAAGCATGAGATGTTGTATTACCTTAAGAGGCAAGACTTCTCTGTTAACACCATAAAATATTGCCATGGCTTGCGTCCAAGAGAGGAGTCCTGCCACGTTACCACACACCTTTTCACCATACTCCAGTGTATAGTCTTCCATGTTAAAGTAAGGCTGGAGTAATTCTACTGTCTCTTCATTGATTGAATCCTTTGGAAACTGCTGTAGACTCTGCAAGAATGGGCCACTCATAAGCTGCAAAAAACAACACAGGATATTTATAAGCTATTTAGACATTATAGATTCAAGAGCTTGTTCATAGTTGAGTATGTTAGAAAATGTTCCTAAAATTCTTCTGGAAAGAGGTAATTCAGTTAATATTATGCGTGTGCTATTCACTTGTAACTCCTTCCACATGCCTTCAATTATTTTAAAGTCTTAAGCAGTTACACTTCAGTAACAAGGCTTGGAAGTTATTGATGTACTTTCCACCTTCCATATTCCTGTGTTGCCATTTAAAAAGCATTGAATAAGCAGCATTTCATAAAAAAAATAAAATAAAATTGGACTGAGATAAAGCCTCAGAGATACATTCGTAAATTATCTAAAGAATGCCAAAAAAGCTGCTTACGCGTTTGTGAAAGGTGATCTAAATTCTTCTGGAAAGGGAAATCATTGGGTTTAACTTTTTTCCAACAAATGTTTAACATGTTAAAGTCAACTCATGGAATAACTGCTTATCCCATTTCATTATGCCAGTGAAAAATGAAAAGCTTTCATGATTTCTTAACTCCTGGAAAAGTTTAAATAAAAAGCAAGAGCCCTATTCATATCTAAAATATATAACTTTTCTTCATTCACATGACAAAAAAAATGAGGCAATAATATTGGCAAGTTAATACACTAACAGAGGTAGAACAGGATTGAAAGAATGGTGGGAGAAGGCATGGAAATAAAAGAATATCCCGAGAGAAGCTGAAAGTCTAGAAGGAAGAGATGGCTGTCTGATCAAGGACTTTGGGCTTGGAACATCAAAAAGACAGAATGGGAAAAGCTACTATCTCTTAGTCAGTCAAATAATCTTTCAAACAATCAAGGAGCCCAGGAGGATCAGAAAAGACTGTTTAAATGTGAACCTCTAAGTTCCCAAAGAGAAAGAGAGGTTTTCCAGAACGCCCTTATCTCATGTATGGTTAACACGATTGGTATCCTTTATTTATTTGCTATCAGGTCATATGCTAGGAATGGGAGAAGGAAAATCTAAAGCTCCTACTGCAAAAGTCTAAGCAATTCGCCTACAACTTCCTACCAAATAAACTCCATTCATATGTTAAGTCTATCTTAAAACCATACGTTTGCCTTCTTGCAAAATTCTGTCCTGTTTTGAGTAAGCAGCACCATAAATTCTCTGATATGCAAGTTGCTATTTCTGATGTTCAAGAAACGCTGTTTGAAAATTCTACTTACTTTTAATGATTCTTTCCACGATGGCTTGCAGCAAGGATTTTCTGGATCCGTGGTAACTGGATCTACTTTCTTTTGGAACAGCAGCAGACAACAGTCCATGACTCTCATAATCAGGTGAGGAGGTTTTGCAAGTTTTCTAACAGTAGCGATATCCACCGGTTTGATGGTCTGTTTGAAGAATAACGTAACAGAATCCTGCATCAATATCCTTGTTCTGTTTTCCCATTCAATATCTTGATTTTAATGGTTGTTTGTCAAACTTTTCTCTGAGGCAAGTTTGTACCAAGTACATACAGAAAAAGTGAGGAACTGGGCTTACTTTAACTAAAGTCATAGTTTCATGAGACTTTAATTTTAACTAGTACACATTAGACAAGAATATTTTCTCAATGGTAAAGACACCACTCAAAAATCAAATTTAGATACATGGAACAGCAGCATTAACTTATCACTCTAAGTGTCTGAAGAAAAGTATATTGTAAAATTGCATAGAACAATCAAAAGCAGTTTCCTTGGTAAAATAGTATTTTGGATTTTTAAGGGTTAAGTGTCATCGTTTATTCTGAGATGGATTTGGTTATTTTGGATGGTTTTTAATTTATCATAGGTACGAGATACTGCTTTTTTACTGCACTTTCTAGCAGCATCACTGACACTTTGCTTAGTTCAATAACAAATAAAAATAACTAAAAAATAAAAAATAACTGAAAACTTCAAAACTAACATATTGATTTGTGTCTACAAAATACATGCATGCCACTACCTGTCTAGAAGGAATAGTTACAGATACAGTATAGAAACCACAGGACAATGTATACACATTGTATGAGTGAATTTTGTGAGCATTTTTGGAAGTTTCAGCAATTTGATTATCTAAATGTCAGTGTAAGAGCAAACAATGCTCCTTTTCTGGCTTTTTCCACTCAGTATTTTTTGTAACTGGAACAGAATGCCTTGAAAATATGTCATTGATTTCTGATTCCAGAGTTCTTTACTTTTTAATTGTTCACAGTGGCATAAGGAAATTATGTAGTACAGCAGTGCCTCCAAATTTCTTAACCCTGACTGATCAACTTTGACCCCCTTTGTTTCCTGTTTCTCTCCAAATCAAACTGAGATCTTTGGAAGAGACAGCTTTTTATTTGTCTTAAAAGAATACACAGCTGGTTAAGAGAAAAGGAAAAAACACTCTTTTAGCACAAGAAGTGTGCTCTTGAATTCAGAATAACAGATATTCTAAAGGCATCTGGAACTTTTGGAAAGATTTACACCTTTGTAATGATCAAATATTGGAGGAAGCAGAACAAGTACAATAAAATAATCTCTATGTGTTTAAGGCAAAATGTGAGCTCCATAAATATTCAGAGAGATGACCTCTAACTTCGAAGAGCTGGTGACAGCAGTCAAAACCAAGTGACAACTGCATGCTGGTGGCTCTAGCCTTTCTTTCATGGATCATTCAAATAGTACTAAATGAATTAAAATGTAAGAATTTTATTCACATTCAGTGCAGCTTTTGCTGCTTCTAATGCCGGTTTGGCTGCCTCCAGTTTAGTCTCTGCTTTCACTTTTTCTAAATCAATTTCATCTACGATTTTTTGTGCTTTATCTTTCACTCCTTGGACTTCATTTTTCACTTTAGCTGCAGCTTCAGCACGTTCTGTGACTTCTGCTAGTACCTGAAATTGATTACAAACACACAGAATGTATACATCAAAATTGTGGAACAAGTAGTTTAGTTATCAGACACAAGACAAAGCTTCATCACTGGAAGTGTTCAAGACCGGGTTGGATGGAGTCTTGAGCAACCTGATCTAGTGGGAGGTGTCCCTGCCCATGGCAGGGGGGTGGAATTATATGATCTTTGAGGTCCCTTCTAATCCAAACCACTCTATGATTCTGTGATATGTAAAGGCTATTATACAGAAAAATGTAAAGCTAACCCTAACTATATATGGCATTATGTAACTATGGAATAAAAGGTAATACAATTTACAGAAACCCTACAAAGAAATTTCGTATGAGTGTCTCATGAGGAGTTGAATAGTAAAAACTAAACTATTTTTATGATGGATAGAAGAACTTTCAGTGGCTTTTAAAGCCAGTTTTTTATCCTATGATGGATTTTTATCCTATTTAAACCTATACTTTTTCAATACAATAAGTATTTGCTTTTTTCATTTTAATTCTGCAGATAAAAACTGAAATAGTATAACTAATAAAAGTAATGGAAGACTGAACCCTCTGCACCAATGATCAGCCTCTCTTTCACTCCTTTAGCCTAAAAAGATTAATTTTAATTAGTCTATTCAAGCATAGACCCATGTGAATTCACAGCATGAAGTCATCCATTTGTGTCTGGTTCCTCTGTACCTATATTTTTCATTCTCTTGTGCGTGTGCAACATACCCTTGGTGTCAGAATGGTTTTTGACCACTATCAGCTATAGGGTCAAGGCTGGTACTCTGTATAAATAAATAATGCTCCCAAATACCTGTGAGAAAAAAATTACAGATAAAATCCCTAAATCCCTCAATTTTTTTTTATGTGAAATCCAGTTCTGATTTCTATAGGCTCATTACTACGGGAAAGAAAGAAATGTACAGAATTTGAACAATATTACATGTAGTTCAAATAAATGTCTGTTCTTTTACTACTTGTTCACATCTTCTACTTCTGATGACTCGTAACTAGGGCCCTATTGAAAAAGGTGTCAACTAAGAGGCTGTGTGAATGATTGCCAGAGAGCTACTTCAAAATGTACATCAAATATAAATGTTAACTAAAGTGAACTCTACCAGCATATGTCACACTTCTGAAATGTTAGAAGGATAATTTCATCCCTTTCTGGTATGATTTTCTCTCTTATGAGATGAAATGCCTTGAATGCAGGCAGTCCCTTAGCTGTCACCAGCCAAAAGTTTGCTCTGCAGTGCACACTAAATAGGCACCATCGTAGCATTACGGTATCTGTCAGAAAACAGAATGCCCCTACTAATACATCCCCTAATATACCTTTCCAGAGAGTCAGTCTGGAAACTAGATTTCTACCAGACCACCAATCTCATCAGCACCTGGACATTGTGTTAATATATATAAAAAAAAAAGGAACTGAACTGTGGGGAACTTTTTTCTAAGCAATTTTGAAATAGTCAAGTCCCATTATCAAGGGTGAACTTCTTATCTGCAAGTAAGTGCACATAACCCCAGATCTAATAAACGTCAATCAAGCACGCAAAAAACCTTGAAACAAAAAATGAAACCTGATGCTTATAGGAGTGGGTAAGAAATGGGAGAACAAGGAAGGCGCTCAACCTCTGCGGCAGTCTCAAAGTGCCTCACTTTCAGAAGCAAATGCTGAAACAACATGCTAGAGAGTGCAGAGTGAAACCTCATTTTAGATCACAACATTTTTTGGCTTGTAGAAATGATGAGAAAAATCTGCAATAGCGCTTTACCCATCTATATATATCCTGGTGCTGTCCACTGCTTTTTGCTATTGAACACACAAGTACTTACTTTATCTGCCTTAATAGATGCCAAAGTCAGTTCCTTCTTCTTAACAGCCAGCTCCTCAGAGAGTTTAGCAACAGATTCACTGGCCTCCATCAGCTTAGACAGACCTATTAAAAAAAGATAAAATTCAGAAGAATGAGAACTATTTTTTCCTTGTGAGATAATACAGTCTAGTTCTAGATCCCAAATGCCTTGTACCTTGTGTTCTTATTTAAATTTGTATAAAGAAGATGAAGTGGGTGTAAGCAGCCATACTGTCATGATTGTGCGTACTATTCACTTTTCATGGATATAAATAAGTTCACAAGGTGCAAAATTATTATAAATAAGCCTGATTCTTCAAAAGAGTAATCCATACTTCTTAGGTCTAGTTTGTTATAGCCGTAAACAGTACCTAAAAGTATATAGCTGGGATAATACCTGCAATAAAATATGTCCTTATGCTGACTATATAGACTTCTTGGAAAAAAAAAGAAAAAAAAAAGAAAAAAATAACAGAAAAAAAAAGATGGGGTATGTCAAGGATATGTTGTGTCAAAGTCACAGGACAAGCAGAAAATTAGACTGATAACACGTTGCTATCATTACATGAGGAAATGACATAAACAATAGTATCTGTAAGTGCCTTCCCATAAGGAGTTCTTTCTACAAAGAAGTGGGAAGAAGTGGAGTCACCAGCAGTGGACCCAAAGGTCACAGCAAGATTACAACCTCCAGCTCCTGCATGCTGAGTTCACCCTTTCTTGTCCCTGGTGACAGAGTGCAGAAAAGCACACAGAAGCGTCCGTGCCCTCCCGGCTTAGGGCCAGCCCTGTCGTAGTTCTTCTACGTGCTGCAGCAACCATCCCTAGAGGCCATTCAGCCTTATACGAACGGTTGCCCAGAAAGAGGCAAGTTTGCTCCCTCTGTAATTATTGTATATTCAGTCTTTCCCATGCCTTCATGCATTCTTTTTTTCCGTCCTCTCTTGCGCATAGATTTGAGCACAGATTTTTGGTTATTCCTGAGCTCCACATTGCATGCTGAAGCCTTTCTATCCTCTCCTCTCCATCACTGAATCTTAAAATCTCACAACTTGTCTGGAAGCATTCCCCTTCTCTCCCTCTCTCCCTAAAGGCTGGAGTCAGAGCACACCTGCAGTTACACATTTGATACGCAAAGTTTCTCTGTGATATCTCTCCACTTTTCTGTTACCACATTTCACACAGACAAGCACTCTCTCCTAGCACATTTCTCGTTCTTCTGACACAGCTGCCTCATGACTAGGCTACTGCCATTCTATAGGCTCTTTATTATTCTTCCTCAAAAGACAAGTTATTTTGCCACTCAACAATGAAGTTCAAGGGTATATTCACTGAAAGACATTGACTTGGAGACAGGAGAGATGTTTTAGAATGTTTCCTTTTCCCAGACACATGCCGTTTCCTAAAATACTCTGAGGAACAGAGGTACCATACATACGAACATTCTACGCCCACCTCCCACTCTGACAGCCATTTCCAAAACAGTTGTTACTTCACGGTAAAACAAGTTCTGAAAGAGAAGGTATGAAAGGGAAAGTGATACCCATCCTAGAGTGAGAAGAAAGAAAGATGGACAATGAATGGGAACACGCAGAACGAGATGCATTGAAGAATTTCAGTGGCAAACAAGAAACCTTTATAGCTTCTTCAGGTCTCCTGCATGCTTCCAATCACAAGAGACATTACATCAGTATCATGCCAGCAGATAATTTTTTTTTTTAGTTCTTGTAGTCATAAACGAACGTCTGATTTGGGCATTAGAAACAGGAACAGTGTTTTTCAGGGGGATATGTAGAACCCATGTAAGAACTTTACTCATAGCAGCTACGACTCATCTAAAGCCAGCTAAAAAGGCACCGTATGTTTTGATCCTATAGGGAGAATCAAAGTAATCTTTATCTCTTTATCTCTTCTTCTCTTTATCTCTTCTCAACATATTTTGTAACTTGTCTAGATGATTACTGCAGAAAAGTAAAGAATATAGAAAAAAATTTTAAATCTTTAAGATACTAAGCACCTCAAGGATGTAATTTCTCTCACTTTTAATCAG